GCCTGTGAGACAGCAACCAGAAGAGCCCAGAGAGCCTTATTCCTCAACGTCCGTAGGCTGGCTCCTCGCTCGGCCAGGAGCGTCTCGCGACTCCTTGATGCATTAGGCACGCCCATGACCGCACAGCAGCAGCTCAGAGCAGTCGTGTTTTTTGGTGATCGTACCTTTGCATCACAAAAGGATGCTCCTGCACCGGAGCCGCTTCAGATCGGTCTTGACCTGAGTGATGCCCTCTTCCAGTCCAAGCTTGCCAAAACTGGCGTCCGGAAGGCGGTGCCACAGCATATCGCTCCGGCAGCAATATGGAAACTCTGCGCGGGCCCGGTGGCCTACATCCTCGGCCCGGCTCTAAGACGGCACTATGCGCGGGTGCACCGGCAGCTGTCGAGGGAGATTGGACAAACACTAGTGTGATTTGGCTGCCTAAACCACCCAAGAAACCGGTTGCCATAGAGTCGTTGCGGCCTATGGCTCATGAGTCCTGCATCGAAAGCACTGCCAGCGACCCTCAAAACCCAAATAATGGACACCCTAATCCCGCTTTTTCGATTTCTCCTTCAATTCGCCACACTACAAAGGGGAACAGCAGACGCTATTCTTCGTGTCCATAGGCATTTTGAACGGGCTGCTTCGATCATTCGGGAAAACAGGGTGGATAGGTGTCAGAAAAGGGAGGAAATCAAGGATGCCACATCGGATCGGATGCCCGCCTCCGATGCATTCATAACCAGGAGTCTCGTACCGGCCCGTATCAGCATCCAACGCGTAGATCGGCTGATCTCCTCGCTGAGGTAGGCGACGGTCCCGATGATCAGACATTTTCTCTCTCAAGTCAACGACTCTTTGCCGATCGCCCAGGCCCTGCTGTGGCGGAATCTCACTCTTTCCTGATCTCACTCGAGCGTTTGACGGGGTCAACCGACCCATTATCTACAATACGATGCTTGGTCACGGTGTGCATCCTACCGTGGTCGCTGTGGTCCAAAGCCTGCACGATCAGCCTTTTACCAGTATCGTGTCGGACAGGCAACTGACAGCACCACCACCACAAACGGTATCAAACAAGGCTGTACGGTGGCACCAAGCTTGTGGTCATTCTTCGCAACTGCGGTTCTCCTGAAACTGCAAGAGGCTCGCAGTGCGGAGTGGTTGCAACGCACTTGCACACTGTCTGCTGATGACAAATGGGGCGACTGGTTAGTCACCACCAAAGACGATGTGCAAAGGGCGATTTCGGACATAGAACTTATCATTGAAACCCTGGAAGACTTTCACCTTCAGGTGAACTATGGAAAAACCGCTGTGCTTATATGCCTTGAGACACTAAGCCTCGAAAACTCGTCAGGATATCACCTTCAGCAAGGACGGGGTCACCTACCTTAGCATCGAAGTCAAAGGTGAAGCCAGAAAAATTCCGGTGAAAACCCAGCACGAATACCTTGGTACAATGGTCACTTACCACTTTAGACACGACAAAAACCTCACCAAAAGAATGCAAGCCGGACAGCTCCGCTACCAAGACATTCGCGAGGCCATCAACGGCCTGCATGTGCTTAGCACAGCCCGGCGCACCTCTCTTTGGAGCTCCTGCGTTTGCAGCAGCATCATGTGCTCACTCCACTTGGTTGGTATGACCAACAAGGGCAACGGGGGTGTGTGCAATCCGCGTGCGATTGCCAAACAGCCAGCACACATCAGCCACATCAGTACCAAAACCATTTGGGACAACAGCGGCCTTCAGCCCCTGGCGGCCCAAGCCATCACCACTCTCACTAACTTACCAGACTCCCTTGTTGAGCGCCAGAAGACAGCCCCTGACATCACTTGCTCAGAAGACATAATCATGTATGTCAATGACCTGCTTCAGAGCCTAGGCCCGCTGCCCAGGCACCCACAGGCCGTGCAATATGATGCAGCTGACCCCTCAGCTGCCGTTGAGTGTCCCGTCTGTCATCTTGCGTTTGCGACTGCAAACGCCATGCGGGTCCACTCCTCGCCAGATCACTCCGCTCGCAAGCCCACCAGCTTCATAGCACATGTGCACTCTAAGAATGGAATGCCCTGGTGTGCCCTCTGCGACAGACGTTATCTCAAAACCCACATTCGCACGGGTGCATGCACTGCATTAGGCGGTGACTCTGCCAGTCGCTGCCCTCGCCCGGAGGAGCGGCCTCCGGCTGCTGACTCGGCTCACGGTGCAGCTGATGAAGCCGGGGGCAAAAATCAACTGCCTCCCACTGCCAGTGTCTCCACCTACTTGTCGGATTCGACGAGACAGCCGCTAGTTATTCGTGCCGACTTTAAAGCCTCACTGCATGTGAATGTGAATTGGCTGGCAGAAGCAGGCCCTGGACCTTTGCCTGCCCTTTAAAGCTCAGCTTCGTAGAGGAAGCAGCTGCCGTTTCTGTGAAGCCAAGGCGGGGGCCCGGGCCGACATAGTCAACAGTGTGCGGTTCTCTTTCAGCTGTGCCTTGCGAAGCTGCGCTGCCAAAGTAAACAGGATTTCGGACCCGGATGCACAGCTCCGCGGCGACATCCTCAAGGCATGCTTCCCGAGCGGCCAACCGCCGCTCCTGTCAGCACCGCCAGCATCGTCGACACCGGCGACAGCAGCTCCCAACAAGCGCTCCAGGATGGACTGGCAACATCGGGGTCGACAGCAGCAGTGGGGCCGTCAACCCACCTACCATCCGAGTCCCTTCCAACAAGCTTCACACCTGCCGCCTCCCATGCCAGGCTCAGGGAACCATCAAGGCGACTCTTTCAACCAGCTTTGTCGTTTACTATTTACTCCTGAGACACGAGGATCAGCTTGCTCAGATGCAACAGGATCGCGGCCTGATCATGTTCATCAAACAGCACCAACACAGCATCCTGCCAGCGCTGTACAAAGCGTCCTCGGTCTGGCACGACAAGACTGCCTCAGCTCCTGCAAAGGAAGGACGGAGTACACTACGAACGGTCTTGATCAACGTGTGATCAAAGAGCTTCTTCAGAGGCTCCAAACCGTGGCAGCCACGGAGGAGAATCGGGCCAAGCTCCTCAAGGCGGGATGGACCAGTCAGGATGGCCAACGACTGTGTCAGCGATGGTGTCGCAGCAGCAAACGCCTCATCACAGACACGATCGCGCAGTACGCCTCCTGACCGAGCTACAGAAAGGCCTGATCGGAGATGTCGTGCACAATTTCGATGCAGGACAGCCGATGTATCGAGTGGAGGAAGCGGGGGCCCAGGAGGCCACTTTCTTTTTGGACATCTCGTTTTGGGGGAGCCACGGCCCAGGATGCGCGTCAGGCATTCCTGGATCTAGCGGGAAGCTCGCTGACCGCTGACCCACCTGGTGGGAATGTCCCTGAAGCGGGCAACAGGGCAGCGCTCAAAACTGGCGCAGCAGCTGGCGGAGCACCTATTCAGGTAAAGTGGCCACGCTCGCGCATGGGGGCACCGCATCTCCGGACATCAGCTCAGCCAGCACCTCAGACCCTCCCTAGTTTTCGGTTCCTTAATCCCGGCAACCTTTGCTATATGAGCTGAACATGCCCCTAACACAGGCCAACCTGAGTTGGACGGCCACTCAGCTTCAGTTTCAGTTTCTTACCCTGGATATGCAACTGTTCGGCAGATGCAATCGGATCTGAGAAAGATTCAAAGCGATGGCGACAGCGATGAGAACTCCCAGAGGAATGGCCCGCCACTTTCCCCTGGAGCCTCTAGGATATGACTACCGCATCGACCGTGCCACTCCACCAGTGGCAGACCGTGATGATGAGCAGCGGCCAGCAGCCGCAGCATCGACCTCTGAACGACCAGCTGCCAAAGTGGCACCTGCACCCATGCCTGGCGAACATGGCGAGGCCTCCTCAAATGACACCAGCAGTTCATACAGCTATGCCATGCCTGGAGCGACACCAGCTTTTTCTTGGACGGAGAGTGCGACGAGGCAGTGGAGAAGCTCCACAACTTATACCGCCAAGAGCTTCAGCAAAGGGAAATCCCGCCGCGCTCGCAGGCAGGCTGTCTTGCCGGACTGCGACGACGCACAAATGCCGTCAACTGGTACGGCATTCAGCTGCCCGGCTCCGCGAGTGGCAAGATTATGAACTCCTGGCCACACACGAGAGGAGGCTTTCGCGGAAGCCTGTAGCAGGGAAGGAATTGAAGCGCCTCGCGGTGTGCTCCCACAGGAAATTCGATCAAAGGCTTTGCTTGTTTGGCACGCCCTTGAGCTTCACTGCATCTCACTAGTACGAGATCAATCTGGCTGCGACTCTGCGGGGAAAAGAAGGTGTGCTTGCGGCGGGAGTGAAAAGTGCTGCATGCACAAAGATTATGGTCAGTGAGGAGTTGCTGCAGCTCGGAAGAGTGATTATAAGCATCAGACGGGGTGGAGGCAGGCCCTACTTGGCGTTGTTGAGGTTTCAGGGCGCTAGTAAAGTCGCCCGCAGCGACTAAGTGGCTTCCTTCCCTCCGGTCGGTGGAGCATATGGGGTCTCCAAACATGTTGATACACACCAAAGACGGCTATGGGTCTCTGCGTGGCCTCCAGAGTGGCCTGTACATGAAGTAGGCGTCCCGGGCATAGCTCGCGCGCCGCGAGGTTTGAGAAGTGCCTTCGCGACAGCATTATGAGAACACCGCTGGACCGCTGGAGGTATCTTTACTGTCAGGGTTATCAAAGACTGAGGTATGCATGCACTGCCAGCTGCCACTACAGAAGTCGTCGGTGTGTTTTCAATGTGTCTCCTGAACAATGATGATGTGATATGCAAGGGTCTGGGGAAGCATATCGATCCAAGCAACTGAGAACGCGCAGATCGTCGGTCGTGCCACACAGAATGGAGTTCTTCGCACGGGTGCAGGCTCTTCGATAGGCTCGTTTGTCCACGGCGAGTGTTGGAGCTGAACTGGGGGGGCCGCCCAACTGCGTACTACCACCGGTACAGGTTCCGCTCCCGTCACGGTGCCGAGAGCTACCCTCACCCCACTAGTCTCTCTAAGGAACATCAAGAAAACCAAAGAACGAAAGACTGGTCCCGGACTTGGGACCGGGTGGACCCTGATTGGGGGCTTTGCATGCCCGAAGATTGCTCTTAGGGCTTTAGGTATGCTGCAGGCTTCTTCGGTGATTTCACGGTGCAAAGGGGCGCAAGGAGCAGGGATTGAAAAACCCAAGCTCTCAGACTACGTGGCCTTCCGCACTGCCACCTTGGCCGTGGCAGACCAGCAGGGTGCCCTGCTTCCACATCGCTGGCAAAGTTTTTTGGTCTCGTTGAGGTAGGTCAGGAGGAGCCAGTTCGTTTGCGCTTTGATGCATCCTGCAATCTTGCTGCGTTGCAGCAAGCTGTGCAGCATGGTGATGCCCAGGCCATGGGCTTTCAAGCTGCGGTCGTGACCGCCTGTCCACGCTGCAGGACAGCTCACTCTCGATTGAAGCACTGCATGATCAAGTCAACCAAGTCCTTTTGCAAACTGCCAGGGAGCACTTTCCTCCTGCAGCACGCCCAGATCACAGGGTCAGTGCCGGAGTTCCGAGCAGGTGCTAGGAACACCTGGCAAATTTACCATGCAATGCGCCGCCCTGGTGCAAGGACATTGAGTGACTGATCCGCCTTCAAGGATTTCAGGAATCAGAGTCAGCAATTGAAGAAAGCATTCTTCCAAACGCATGTCCAAGAGGCCAGTGAGGCAGCAGCCAGAGGAGACCAGAGAGCCTTATTCCTCAACGTCCGTAGGCTGGCCCCTCGCTCGGCCAGGAGCGTGTCGCGACTCCTAGATGCATCAGGCACGCCCATGACCGCACAGCAGCAGCTCAGAGCAATCGTGTCTTTTGGTGATGTACCTTTGCACCTGCGCCGGGCTTCAGATTGGTCTTGACCTGAGTGATGCCGTCTTCCAATCCAAGCTTGCCAAAACAGGCGTCCGGAAGGCGGTGCCACAGCATATCGCTCCGGCAGCAATATGGACCCTCTGCGCGGGCGCTGTTGCCTACATCTTCGGCCCGGCTCTAAGGCGGCATTATTACACGGGTGCACCGGCAGCTGTCGAGGGAGATTGGACAAACACTAGTGTGATTTGGCTGCCTAAACCATCCAAGAAACCGGTTGCCATAGAGTCGTTGCGGCCAATGGCTCATGAGCCCTGCATCGCAAGTACTGGCAGCGACCCTCAAAACCCAAATAATGGACACCCTAATCCCGCTTCTTCGATTGCTCCTTCAATTCGCGTACACACCGCAAAGGAGAACTGCAGACGCTATTCTTCGTGTCCATAGGCATCTTGAACGGGCTGCTTCGATCATTCAGTGTACGCAGGAGGGGATAAGACGTGCGTCCGAAGGCGGCCACCAAGTGCATCAGACTCATCCAGCCGCTAGGCCGCTAGGCATAGTCCCCTGATCCAATCCCTAATCGACTTCTGGCATAGCCAGGAGACCATGCATGCTCTTACGGAGCATGCTCCCTGGCTTTTCATGCAGCTGCCTCGCTTTGCTGATATCGATGGACAAGTCACCAAAAATCAACAAACATACTATCATGCTGACTCCGTCAAAGTTCCCATCTTCGAAGCAGCAGCTGACTTGTCAGTCAGGTGGCAGCCCTACAAAGTCGTCGGATACGTGGAACATCATGGTGCCCTGCCCTCTGCAGGTCACTACACCACCATCAGAGTTGCTGATGGACAGTTCTGGCGACTAGATGATGAAAAATAACCAAGCATTATCGCGGTGAGCAACATTCATGCAACAAAACACATATATTGTTGTATTCTCCAGCTCAGCCTCAAGCCCAGCCCCTACATCTGCCGTCATCTCCTGCAATGGCAGAGCTGAACATGCCCTTAACACAGGCAAACTTGAATTGGACGGCCACTCAGCTCCTTACCCTGGATATGCAACTTCGGCAAATGCAATCGGGTCTGAGAAAGCTTCAAAGACTGCAGCTGGAGTCATTGAGAAGGATCAGACTAATTGACATGAAGCTGGGAATACCCAACCGAGCAAACAAGTGTCCTGAGACGACTCACACGGTGACTCAAACTCTAATCCACTTCGTAGAAATGGACGAGTGAGCACCGGAAATACCACATTGTTTCACCACGTTTTGTTACCGCGCAAGGCGCTACGTTGCTTCGGGCCGCCCACCACGTAGGGCTTTTGTGCCTAGCCATCACGATTGACTGTATGCCCCAAAACTGGCATATTTCGGCGTCGCTAGTCAGAGACTCTCTGCTGCGTGTGAAAGAAGAATGATGATGATGATGATCATGATGATGTGGTGGCGGTGAGGGCGAGGACGGTGTTGGCAGTGTTAGCGTGCCGGTGTACAGAGCGTTGGGTAGTCTCTTCCGGGCAGGACATGCTCGTCTTCATTCCCATCGATCCTGCTGTCTCCAGCAGGGATGTGGACTGCTTGTTTCTCGGTTCTGCCATATTTGGCTTGCGAACATGGGCGTGTCTTTATGCCCCCGGCCACCTTTTTTGCCCCAGTCGATGAAATACAGCAGCAAACGGTGGCTCCAGGCTCTTGAAGAATCACGTCTCTGCTACAGTGGCCGGTGAGGTGCGCTTTCCTCTTTGGAACGAAGAAGTTGTGTGAGTCTCGAATCAACGCCCCGGAGTGCCCTGCGGCTGTTCAAAGGCCATTTTCGACGGAGAGCCCGGCCTGGAGATCGACCAGGATGAGAGCGACTGGGAGATCGAGACCCGCGCCGGGCGAAGGGTTTTGTGCATCCGGATGCGGAAGGCCGGATCAAAAGGGCGGGGACGGAAGACTAGCCTTGCTGTCGCGGTCTCCTGTTGGAACGAAGTCCTGCTGCTGGAGCAACTCACAGCTTCTTTTTTTGCAGGATCACGAGTTCAAAAGATGGCCGCCGCATCTCCTGAAATGACGGCCAGAGAATATCAGAACTGTGCGCAGCAATCGTCAGAGACAGTTAGTGACCCACTTGTGCTCGAAATTTAGTTTGTGGTACCCTGGGCGAAATTGAGTTGTACAGATCTCAGAACAGACTTCAGTCCAGCGCACCAAAGTGTGATGGCACGAGCTGCTGTCGGGGCTGCCTGTTTTCCTGCCAGGTTGTCGGTTCATTTTTGCAAGTGTCAGTCTCTGTAGGGTTGTAGGGAGTGCAGTAGTCACCTGAGTAGAGAAGTGCAGGCTGGGCGTCAAGGAAGACTGTTCCAACTTCGACTCGCTGCCGGACCGGGCTTTGCACCACCTTGCCACAGTACGCTACAGCATGTTGAATCAAGACCAAGGGGCTGCGACGATAGCTCCATTTTTGGGCCTGGGTGTTCATAGCACGGGTACAGACAATGTCACCGTAGGCCTTGTGTGGGCGATGCTTCCATGCAGAGTTGGTCGAGCTGGGAACAGCAGTCTGCGATGATGGCAGACGCTTTGTGGATGCGGTGAACCTGGACGGATCTGGACAGGAAGGATCCAGATCCGGAGACTTGAAGTTGTGGGTACCCACCGTGAGTCTCTTCGCCTCACCCGCAGACGCACGTGCTGGGGGCCAGTTGCCGTTTGGCAAGCAGCCTTCACTAGTAGTGCTATCACGGGAGAGTATGTTGGCTTACATGATCCCCCAAAAGGCGCTAGGCCCCTTCTTCATCTTCTCTTGCTTGATTTCAGTACCCGGCACAGATTCCAAAGTTGGTCTTCAAAGAGCAGCCCTTTTCGAGAACAGGGGGAAAGGGCTAATTTCGAGTGAAGAGTAGAGTTAAGGGGTGGCCCTTTATGTGCTTGTTGCTTTGCGCTTCTTGCTGATCTGCTTTTCGCACTGCTTCTGTTTTGCTGTTGTTGCCTGCCTTTTCTTGATTGCCGTCTTCGTAGTCTTACTTTTGTCTAGTTGGTTTGACTGTGGGCCGTCGGCCTGTCAGTTTTGCAATCTACCGGGAAGCTTCATTGGGCGATCGTGGCTCAGTTTTGTGTCAAGCTGTGAGCGGCTTCCAATTCGCAGGTTTTTGGTTTGCGGCAAGCTAATGGAGAATTCCATCGCAGGCTCAGTCATTCAATAGTCAATAGCTTGCCACAGAACACACTGCACATCGGAATTCCCGAACAATGTGCGGCGAAACAAAACGACCGTAATTTGCTGACAACTATGTGACCACAAAAGAATAAGAATTGGCAAGCTCGAATTCTTTGGCGGCTACTCGCACACAAGGGAAAGACCGAGCCTGACTTCAAAAACCAGCAACTGTTGAGCACACGCTCTTGAACAGAAAAACTCTCCACCCTGAACGCCAGACTGACTTGGCCAGTAGAAAGCGTGCAACCAGCTGAGACATTCGTAGGATGTAGCCTCTGAGGTCTTTTCCTTCGGAATTGGTACATGGTTCGCAATTTCTGAAGCTGAGCAGATTGTTCCCAGTGAGGGCTTCAAAGGCCCGGCTTTCCTGAAGTATCGGAGCCTAGAAGGGCCTAGCACGTCTTTTGAACGTAAGTATCCCGCAATGTGTATGCTTTCCAGGATCTCGGGTTCGTAATGGCCGGCCACACCTTGAAGCTGACAGCAGAGGCTTGTGCCAGAGCATCGTTGGCAAGCGTTTTCTCGATCGCAGCATGTTGCAACTCGCAGCAGGATTACGTTGACCGTGACGGCCATACTTGCACGGTCATGCCGGCATGTGCTACTGCTCATCGTCGCAGAGCATCCTCTTGCCGAAATTTGCCGGCCAGTTGTCGCTGATGACCATGGACGTGCCACCGCCGAAAGGGCCGCTCTTCATCTTCGGCGATCCTCTCCTGCGCAAGTGCCCTGCGAGTACATTAGGTCAGGGCATGCCGATAGCTGTCACGTTTGAAGTCTTTCTGGGTCCACGAGTGTCGCGCATCCGTGTCATTCGTCGTGGGAGGTACTACACGGTCTACGACCGCGAAAACCTGCAGGCTGGGAATCGCAACCACAAATTCCTCACTTCTTCGCAGACCGTCATGCAGTTGTGGGAATTGGAATGAACTGCAAAAGGGTGGAAATATTCATATAGATGACACCATCTTGTAGCATCGTGTACGGTGCGCTCGAAGACTTCAACCGAACATGAATACACATGATTTGCCTGCGCAACTAGAATCGTCTGAGGTGTGCTGAACGACTACTTCCAGCAACCTGAAAGCCCGAAAGCCTTCATGAAAGCAAGGTGGACCAGAGTGCAGCACCCCAAAACGTGCCTTGAGAAACGAGAAGGTTTGCTACTACCACCTTCCAAGCCTACATACTACAAACCTCCCCTGCAGGTTGGTTTCGCAATGGCTGCGCAGCCAAGGCGCGGGGACGGCAAAGCCTGACTCGAACGCCTGCTGACCTGCAAAAGTGGTGCAGCAAGAGTCTCGACAAGCGCTTGGTTGTCGTGGATCCGATTGGGGAGTAACTGTGAAGTTTTTACAAAGTTCAGGCAGCTGTTGGCTCCCTAAAACCCTTCCTGATAGGCGGAAGGGGAAGTATCCCGAGGAGCTGCAATACAGCGACTAACAAAGTGTGATGCGTCGCCTGAAGATTGCCAGTAGTTGCTCCTTATGGCGATCGTGACAAATTTTCGGCTCAATCCTGAGAATCTGAGCCGTGGTTTTTTAGACGCATATATATATATATATATATATACACACACACACATATATATATATATATATATATATACCAAGCGTAAGCGGTGATTGCCAAGTACCGCTCGGCAAGTCATGATCCACACGTCAAGCTCTTCAACGCAAGCTGATTTGTAGCACGTTTTTGGCCTGACATGGGCGCGGGACTTAAAGAGAGGAGTGGGTTTAGGCCGAGCGGCAGAGGGCCTAGGGGCGTGGCAAATCCGAGGCGAGCTGGAGCCTGAGCCGTCGACTCAGCTGCAAGAACTGCCACAAGCGGCACCCCGCTTGCGCTCCCCGCGGTCCGAAGAGGATGCGGTCTTGCTTCGGCTTTTGCTGGTAAAGTCCCATCCTGGAATCCGTGCCGTCAGCCAAAGCTAAGATCCACCATGGACGCGGATGGCGACGCTGCGAGGTGCCGGGTTGCCGTTCTGTGTTGGGCATGGGCCAGACTTGCAAGCTTCCGGCGTCTGTATCCGATGTGAACACCTTTCGACAAAAGTTTCTAATGCAGAAGCATCAGAAGCAGTGTGCAGGAGCTTGTCCCAGCTTTGGACCTGAGCTCACGAAATTACCCTCGGCAAGATCCTGAGTAGGAAAACAGCAGCGTTCCCAATGGTGTGAGAAGCCCTGAAGTATGCCGATCTTGTGTTTTTGCCCAAAACATGAGGAATGTTGAATCGAAGTGCTGCACTTTGCAAGGCGGTGTGCCGAAGAGGTGGATTTCGGTGCAGACGGCCTGGCTGCCTCGGTTTCTCTTGAGTGGGGACGTTTTCAGAAGTGTCGAAGCGTGACACAGACAGCTATGTCCCGTCCTCGACCGTGACAGGAATCTAGGATGAGCCGTTTTGAAGATAGCAGCTGTAAGACACCATGTCTGCGTTTTAGGGTCTTACGCTTAGGCTGTCGGTGTTTTCGCAAGATTTTCTGACTCAACGTTCCGAGCCAGGAGATGCAAGCCAGTTCTGCACTTAGAGGGGGTCCATTCTCTTACCACAGCGTGACTTGACTGGCCCCGGCCCAGCGAAGGGGCGCTAATGCGGCTAGAGTCGGGGTAGAACAAAGAGACCATGCGCACGGGAGTTGTTATTCATTCCCAGGTCCAAGCCTGTGCACGGGAACATGTGGAAAGGGCAACGCTTCCGCCATGAATGTGAAGATTTGACTGTGGAGTGGATTTTGAGGGGAGATGTTTGTCTTGATGCCCAAAGGCAAGATCCACCATCTGCAGCAACTGCGGCAACCACATGAAAAACGGAAGGTGAATGTGAGTTTTTTGAGGGGAGCCGTTTGTTTTGATGCCTGGAAGAGCCCACAGGCAAGATCCATGGCCTGCATCAGCTGTGGCAACCACATGAGAACATGGAAGGCGAATGTGAGTTTTTTGAGGGGAGCCGCTTATCTTGATGCCTGCAAGAGCCCAAAGGCAAGATCCAGCGCTTGCAACAGCTGCCGCAACCACATGCGAAACATGCAAGGTGAATGTGAGGTTCTTGGGGGGAGATGTTCGTCTTGATGCTTCGGAGAGCCCAGTGGCAAGTTGTTCATCAGCTGCGGCATCCATACGCGAAATATGGAAGGTCAAGGTGATGTGTTTAGGGGGAGATACTTGTTCTGATGCATGGAAGAGATCTACTACCTGCAGCAGCTGCGGCAACCACATGACAAAACCGACGGTGAAAACAAGTTCTGAGGGGAGCCGTTGTCTTCATGCCTGGAGGAGCCCGAAGGCAGGATCCATGGCCTGCATCAGCTGTGGCACCCACATGATAAACACGGAAGGCGAATGTGAGGCCTTGTCTCGTAAGCAATTCGTTGATGCCTGGAAGAGCTCAAAGGCCTTTCTACTACCTGCACCAGATGTGGCAACCATATGAGACGTATGGAACGTGAATACGAGGTTTTGAAGGGGAGACGATTGTGTTAGAGCATGAAAGAGTCCAAGAACAAGATCTTCTACCTGCAACGGCTGCGGCAACCACATGAATAACATGAAAGGGCAACGTGATTTTTTCCAAGTGGATGCTCCCCTGGTGTTTATGAAGTTTGACAGCTCCTTGACAGCTCCTGCTTCGGCCTGAATTGAACAGCGCCAACGGGATGCTGGTGCTTCCGGAGTACGTCCAGCGAAACTGAGCTCTTCAGCGTCGCTGTTGCACCTTCCACATTGGCTACCCAAGTCCCAGCATCGCAAAGTAGCATGGCAGTTTGGCTTGCGCACCTTTACGTGCTGTGCGGCTTGCAGATCCGCGGTATGAGTTTCATCTAGGATTAGGGCAAGGGTTTACGAAGTTGATTTGATGCAGGTTCACGTCCAAAATCCCGTCGAGTGAGATGTTTCGAGCTTCGCCCTGTTGGTGCGCAATCTTGCTGCTGGCATGGCCCAGATTACGTGCTGGTGATCTAAACGTGTCTATTGGCATACAGGTGGCTTCTACAAGAAGAGTTTGAAGGTGTTCCGCAGTGTGACCGAGATCATAAGTGCAGGGAGCAGAGCACAGGCGACAGTCGCATTCCCAACCTGCGCCGGAGTGCTTTCTAGTTTGACCTTATCGTCGTGACCTCCTCTCGTACATCCTTGTGCGGCGGAGAACGTGGCTGGCGGCAGAAGCCTCTTCGGAACGTTCGAACACATGCAACATGTGAGCAGCACATTCATCTCTTCTTGTCAGTCATGGGAGCTTGGCAATCCCCCTGCCATGACCAAATCCTGCTCGTCCATACCCCTGTGGCCTCGGCTGTGCGCATGCGAACGGCTCGTTTCCTATGCCTCGGATTACTTCATGAACCCTGCCATAGAATCACGCCGACGGTCATTGCTGCGCAACCTTTGCGGCATCGTTACACGGACATCACTGCAGCCGGTCCCCTCGTCGGATGTGACGTCGTGCGATCATGGAGAACATGCTCTGCAGGGACACAGCTTTACATGGTTTTTCCACAGCTTCCTCCTCTGCGGCAGCTCCACAAAGTCTTGACACACTAACGCAGGGTGTCAAGTCATCTTCGGCCCAGACCTGCAGACGGGTGCTTGCTTCGTTATTTGCTTTGCGTTGCCCTTCCCTCGTCTGCTTTTGTGCGAGCTAAGGCTAGGGCAGCCTGTTTCAGCTAAGGCATCGAGATTCGAGCTGTGCTAAAACCTTTGAGCACTCCCAGCAAGATGGCCTTTTGGCAACTTGACCGGCGGCCTTGAAATTGGTGCAGAAGGAAACGAACGAACGAGGGCTCCTGCTGGGCAGCTTCCAGGGCATCCGGCCAAGATCCGGCCCGACGGCTTCAGTGCGATCAGCTTTAGCATGCCCTGCTGAATTCTCCCGACATCGGCCCGTGCCACAGTGCCACACACAGACAACTTCCAACAAGTGTCAGCTCCTTGCCCTTGCTACATTTGCCGGCCTGCCATTACAAGGTCAGAAGCAGAGAACGATGTGCAGAAGGACGGGGTGCCACGTCACAGTTTCCTTGCCTCTGCCATGCTGTCTTAAAGGGCGACATGTGGTGTGACCGCAAGTGGACTTCAAATTAGGTATCGGGGATGTGGGCTCCATGTGCTGCGGCTTCAATCGTGCAGTGGCCGGTTTTCGAGACTCGCTGCAGAGCCGGTATTTGAGTCTCGGGGCTTCGGTTGCGAGGCTTGAGGCAGGAGCTTCCACTTTCACAGATTCAGCCGGGTTGGTGAGCAATCTCGAGGATGGCGAGGGTGGAGTCCGGGCCTTACAGTGGCCAGCAGCATGCCAATATGCACCCCAAAGCATGCCGAAGTCGAACTCTGCACGAAGAGAGAGTGTGGGGAGGGTTCTTGTGTCACCTCAGATCTCGGAGACATCTGAGGAAACCAGCAATTACTGGTTGCGGATCTTGTGCGACCGGCTCGTTGTTTTCCCTGTCGGCCATTGGCTTGGTTGCATTGGATGTGGCAGCCCTCAAAGTGAACTGAACTCAACCCCTCGAACTTAGCGCATTCTGGACTACAGTATGTAAGTGCTCGGTTGCCGATCGTGCCAGAGTCCCACCAGCCTTTGGAGTCGCCTCTTAAACGTCAAGCCCTCCTGGATGCCAGCCCACTTCCTCCACGCTTCGGCTACATCGCGATCAAGAAGGCCTGTTACAAAATACGATGTGCGTGCAAGTGCAGCAGCTCTCTGCAACTTACTCCGACTCTAACCTCACTTCGAAACATACCGGCCAAGCCTTGTCGGAGGAGGTTTTCGGGAGGCTTGTAGCAAGAAAGCATTCGAGAGCCGCAGTTGACCCGCGACTTGCTGCAAACCGACAAAGACCTGGTCACCGGCGAGACGAACAATGCTTTGCCCTTACGACGGCTTGCTCTCTCGATCTTTGTTTCGTTGCTTCTGAGTTTGGATGCCCTCTGCAAGTTGCTGAGGAGAAACGGTACGCACTAATGTGCATGCGTCAAGGCTGCATTCAGCGAAGTCTTTCAGCTGTGCTCGCATCTAGAACAGAGGCTTAGAGCCAGCTGCAAGGCTAGCCGCAGTGTGTTTTGTGACACTGTCAGTGCAACAATTGATTCCAAGAAAGGCGAGGGGTTCCAGGGATTTTTGGCCAGTCTCTGCCCGTTGCCAAGGAGTTCCCAGGAAATAGCCGAACAGCCGCTTGGACGACAGAAATTTCGAGGCATCTCGAGGCTTCATACATCGGATTGTGGTGCCGTCGGCTTGATGGTGCGAGCAATTGCATCGTCTTGAGTTGTTGGCACCTCTGAAATTCCTCTGTTTTGCAAGCATTTAAAGGATCCAGCATGGCATAGGATTGAGAAAGAAGTTTCGCCCTCTAGCTCAGCCCGAGCCCAACTAAATTCCTCAAAGTGTAGTGGCGCACCTGTAGACTCTGGACATCTCTGCAGTTCAATCTCCCAGCCTATCGTGGCATCTGTCAGCCTTCACACGCCAAGGCTGGCAGCTAAAGTCCGCGGCCACATGCCGCAGCCTGGGGCGGAGCCTCTGAATGCCGTGCCCTGCCACAGATATTGAGGTGGATGGGATGCTGTGAGTGAGGATGCTGAAAGGGTTCGTGCTTTCGGGTAGCAAGAGCCACTCGCAACGGCAAGTTCTCAAATGCAGCAGCCACGCATTCTGGCAGTCGCATGCACTCGCTGCATCTGTTGCCCAGGAGCTGTATTCGGAAGTCCCCTTCCCAGTTTTCCGTTGCCATGAAGTGCAACAGTTTTCATTTCGTGCCTATTGAATGTCAACATCGAACATGTCAGTCCTTGTGCCGCCTATGCTTCGAACGAGGAAGAGCGGCAGGCGCAATTCGGACCCTTACAAGCTCAGCAGCGTGTCGGCCCCTTAAACTTGTTACGACTCTTCGCTATCCTTCTTCTTCTTCTTCCAAAAGATGCTCGAGTCACTCGAGTCCACAACCTGAAGTCGAGAGCAGATGTTCCCACTGCGCCTGAGCCGCTCGACACTGCAGGCTCTGCAGAGTAGCCAGCCGATGCAGCTCGGCAGGCACGAGAAGCCCAGCGGCGCGGATCCCAGTAGTCCGGCTCGGGGCCGGCTCAAGGTGCGCTCAGTTTGACACAGAGGACCCAAAGCCCGCTGACAGAACCCTTTGGCGAGGTGAGCAGCTTGTTGGCGGCACCAAGCGCTTCGTGATTGTTCGCAACCTCACCCCGGACGTAGTCAGCTCAGTCTGTTTCCATCCTCCATGCGTCGACGGCTGCATTGTCAAAGGCCAAGAGTTATGCCTGGTTCCGGCGCTTCCCGGCCTCGGACCGAATGAAGACAGCCACAGCCCGGGCCCTGACGTGAGCCTGTGTGGTGCTTCGAAGATGGTTCGATATGTTCCACCGCTGGATTGGTGAAGCACACAGATGGAGCAACGCATGAAGTCCTTGCTGTGCATGAGACCACATGCAGTAATCCAATCTCACATACGTCTATCTGTTCTTTTAGTAGAAGCTTGCTTTGCAGATCTTCTGGCGTTGGATTCCAATGCCAACCCGATGTGTCCCGAGGACCCAAACACGTAATCTCACTTTGCCACCTCCCCCTGCAGAGTATGATTTCTGCCAGAGAGACTGTACGATCTTTGAGAGAATGCAACGGTCTCGAGACATTGGCTTGGTGTTGCAGTCGGACCCGGGGCTCCACCCGGTACTTGACTCGAGGTGCATGGTCACAAGGGCGGCCCACGCTGGGCGGCCCTGGAATGCGCTTCGGAAGAGGCCACTCTCGGGATGCAGAAAGTAGCTACTTGCGGCCAGTTACTCTCGCGCCTGAGCAGTTTTTCCGCATTTCCAGGACGCCATGCGCCTTGCCAAGGAGGTCGCTGCATTCGAGGTCCCAATCCCCGGGACCATGACTTCGAGATTTCCGTGTCGCAACATTTCAGCCTTTGAGGTGCCGGCCGAGGCTTCCGGGCCATTCCAGGCCAAGTAGCCACGTAGCATGATGAGACTGAGACTCAGACACTGTGGAACTACGATCGGTCGTCCATGCACAGGTTGAGACAGCAGTTCGCACTGCAGTCGAGAAAGAGGCCGGACGTGACCCTGCGAAAGCCGAAAGTCGAAAGCAGACATGCAGCATGCAGGAGAAGCTGAATAAAGAGAGGGAGCTGCGCCAGGCCCGACCGGGTTGGCAGCCCTTCTTTCGCCTTCAGTGTTCTTGTTCGGTGTCTCCTGCCGAGGAGAGGCCCCGGGATCACGGCCACGGCGGCCACGGCGGCCACGGTGGCCATGCCTGCGCCTGAGAAGACGCAGACACCCGGACACGTCTCAGATCTTGCGTTGTTCTCTTGCAAACGCCACACACGTTCCATGTTCAGGACAGAAGGCCTGAGAGGCGAGACGATCGCAAAGAGGAGCGGCGTGAAGATCGCCGCGAAGAGCGCAGGGATGATAGACAGGAGCGCCGGGATGACCGACGGGAAGATCGTCGGGAGGAACGTCGGGATGATCGTCGAGATGACCGCAGAGACGACCGGCGAGACGAGCGCCGCGAAGATCGCCGAGATGACCGGCGAGAGGAGCGGAGGGACGAGCGGCGAGACGACGGGCGAGACGACCGGCGAGATGATCGGCGAGATCAGAGGGAACACCGTGATGACCGCCAGCAGCGTACCGTTCGCTTGGAAGATCGGCGTGATGACAGGCGTGACGATCGCAGATACGAGCGAAGAGAAGATCGAGCATATGAAAGAGATGAGAGGAGAGATGAACGTCAAGGTGACCGCAGAGGTGATCGCAGAGAGGAGCGGTACGCGGATCGTGATGACAGGTATGGACGACAGGAGCAGCGCTGGGACAATCGTCAGGAGTATTACCGACGAGATCCCGCGAAAGAGCAGCAGGGCTCCAGGAACTATGACGATGGATCTCATCACGGTCGGCAAGACGGACGCGAAGTCAGACGCGATGATCGGCGAGATGACCGACGGGACGACCGTGGGCACGAACGCCGAGATGATCGGAGGTATGAAGAGAGACGTGACGACCGGCGAGGCGCGTGCTCTGAGTCTGAGTGTCAGGTGCTCCTCTGCCCTTGGCCATGTCCAGGCGGGGAGCGCCCCCGCGAAGAGCGCTGGTCAGAGGCCGATGTTTGGGTTTCCGCTGCAAGGATTTTGTGCACATATGAGGTTCAGGCGACATCCAGCAAACGAAGCGCGGCAATGCAAGCGAGAGCCGTAACCCGACACTCAAGCATACATCCATTGGCCATGGTTTTCCCTTCAAGTCTTGTCTATGTCCGCCTTTTGTCTCGCTATGTCTCGCTACCTCCGTGAGGACGTTGACGGCGTGTGGATCAACATGCATGAACTAGCTGTAACTAGCTGGTAGAGCTTCAAAATGTTCGCCAAGACAGTGGGCTAAACGGAACCAGTGTTTTTTTGCTGTAGTTGCCTTTATGTTTTTTTTGTTCTCGTTGCGCGGACCCAGGAAGCCAGTGAGTGAGTGAACCCCTGTGCCCGCAACGACAGCAAAAACAACGCGCGCCCCAGGGACGGCAAAAAACAACGCGCCCGCGCAACGACGGCAACAACAACAACAACGCGTCCCCGCAACGACAGCAAACAAAAACAACGCGCCCCGCAACGACAGCAAAACAGCAACGACAGCAAAAAAAAACAACACACCCCGAAACGACAGCAAAAAAGCAACGACAGCAAACAAAAAGCACTCTTACCGGGTCTAAACTCTCGCCAATGCAAAACCGGTATCCTTAGCCTGCGATGTGCCTCAGGGTGGCCAGCTCCGCGAAAACGATCGAAGTCGGATGGAGAGGATACTGCCGCATCAGCTTTCATGCCATTAGTCATTGATGGATGCACTTGGCATTTGGATGTCCCAAGCGTGTCTTCCCTGCAAGGACCCGTTCTCGGAGCTGGGGCCCTGGCACAGGACAGGGGTTCTGGAATTCGCGGGCCTGTAGTAGTCTTCAGGGCAGGCTTCCAGCCCATCCACTCTTCCGAAACCCTCGACACGGCTGGGAAACTTGTGAATGCTCCACCTCTGCTGCTGCTATCCATGTCTGTTCAGGTCGAGCCCAAGCGCAAGACAGGCCGGCATAGCGGAGCTTGACTTGGGGATTTTCAATCAGGTTGGTCACTGAAGTTTGGGATTTCGAGCTTGAGAATTCAATCAAGCAAACGCTTTAGCTTGTACATTGTTTTTCAGAGGGAAGGCGCATGCGTGTGGAACCCCCCCTTAGAGAGCTGTTGGGGTTGCCTTAGCCCGCCTGTGGTGGTGCAGGCTTGCGATCTCTTGCATCTTTTGCATGGGTTGAATACAAGGGCAGATTTGCGGAGTTGCAGACAGGAAAGCCACAGCACAAAGGGTCCGGCGACTGACCGTTCTCTCTACTCGCACCGTCTCTCGTTCTGGAGGCGTGATGCCAAGAGCCAGCAGGCAGAACTCGGGCAGGGTTTTTCAGTGTTTGTGACTGCTGTTCACGCCGTGACACACCACATCGCAGCATCGCATGTTATGAATCTGTTGTGTGATGTCTGCTTTGTACATCTGCAGCTCCAGCAGCTTTGCCCTGGTGTCCCAACATGTCCCAACGCTTCACGTGCGCACGAAGCTAATTATCGAGCTCCTCGCCGATAAGGGTGCTAGCACTCCGCCGGCTTCGAGAAGGTTGCGGAGTGCTACAGTGGCCCAGAGCAGAGACTTGGACGTCGGAGAATTCTGTAAGCAACGGGGGCGGCATGTGTTGCCTGGTGCATCTATGCAGAGTTGATCAGATGGTGGGTGTCTGTCAACCTAGCGAAGTCCGTAGTGGAGACCGGCCGTGCCCGCGCAACGGAAGAAGGGCTCGACGGCAAAACAGGCCTCGGCAGACTTCGTCTGGTTTGGATGCCTGGTGCCATATGCCCAACAAGCAGCTCGTCGTGGACCAGGCTGTGCACATCGCCAAGCCGGGGGCAAGATCTGCTTCGCAGACTGGATCGAGGGCATCTGTCGGACGAGGAGGCGCTGCGCTTCCTGTGGCTCATGACCTTTCCAGCCATTCTGACAGTGCGGGAATATTGCCTGAATCACGGCTGGAGAAGCACTTCCGGTTCATAACGAAGTTGGCCACAAGAGGCAAGATCGGGACATCTTCATGGCAACAAGTGAGCAGCATTTTGTTCTGTCGAGTATTGAACGGCCCGGGGGCACCATGGGCCCTGCGAAGACCTCGCGTGGCCGCTCTGAAGATTCGTTTCAAGCGCCCAGAGACCTGGAGTGTTCCCAGCGAGGTGCACGCGCTTGCAGCTAGATGCAGCTATCGTCGACCGGACCGAGAGGGACACGGACACCTGGAGGTTTTTGGCCGCACAGCTGCACAGCTAGCCTCCGGACAGACCGGCAGACCGGCTGCTGAGGTCCCAAACCGACTGGCCTAGGGTACCGGCATCGCACGGTCCAGAGGTGTGGCGAAGCAGTTTTCTCCGGCACACTAACCCGTAGTTCTTGGATCTGGAATGATCTGGATCTGTGTCACAAAGCACGGCCCAGAAACAGAAAATCGACTGCACACCGCAGACATGAGTATGGCCGAACCTCAGCAACACTTTTTTCTCTTTGCCGAGACCCAGTGGACGTGCTGCTTGCAACCTCAACAGAAGTTAGGGATTGTGTTTGTCCTTGGCCAGGACTATCCTGCCAGCCGAAGGACTGACCGGCAAGCCCCTGCAACTCTGCTCTCATTCGTGTCAACTCGCAGCCAAAGGTTAGTTGCAGTTTCGTCGAGTTCATAGTGTCATAGCACAGACTGGGCGACATGTGCGTTAAAGATCCGCGGGGCAGATGCAGTGAGCTGCAATTCTCTGGGAGGAGCGACGGCGAGGCTCTTCCAGGCCAGCTCGCCATCCAGAACCACTCGAGCCGCGCGCTTACAAAATGCTGCCCTGCAGCAGGCAGGCCAGGCAGGCGGGACTTGCGGAACTCCAGGTGCAAGCTTGCTTTTTTCCAATGGGTGGGCCCTTCGATGACACCACATCGGGCGAGGTCGAAGTTCAGGGAAGAGACTCAGCCCTTTGCCCAGGTGCACCGCAGCCATCGATTGCGCCGGCACTAAGGCGTTTGAACGTTTGCTTGGGTTGGGGTCGGGGGCCGTGGGAAGTGGGGCCTCGCCTCTCATGCCCAGAGACAGAGAGAATGAACGACAGACGACAGCCGGGCACAACGAGCCTTCCGAGACAACAGTGAGGACGTTTTTTCTCGACCCTTGCACCTTCGTCTGGGCCCTTCAGGGATATCGACCGGACACGCAGGGAGCAGGCTCGGTCCGAGGTGCGCCTAGTAGTTTGCAAGAGGCTCACAGATGTCTGTTTCAATTTCGTTTGAGTTTGGAGACCAGTGAAGGCTGAAAAGAAGGCTGTTGCCGCGGAGCAAGCATCGCTGGAAAAGCAAAAGGAGGCTTCCCGCTTCTTCAAGTTTCTGCGACAGCAGATGCAGAAGCCAGAAGCCATGCAGAGATGCGGCGGCGTGCCGTCAGAGGCCATTCGAGCAAACGAGCGGCTGCAAAATGCCAAGAGGAAAGCCGAAGAGGCCCGGGGCCTGGGAAGTTACGGCGCGAAGTTGGTGGTGCTTTGGTCAATAATGCTAGGAAACCCAGCGTCTGTTCAGGTCGGCCTGGCATTGCAGGAGCAACAGAAGCGGGTCTCTCTCTCAGGAAACTGAGACGTGAGCATCCAGCCGCTTTTTAAATATGCTTGCCTTGAGCTTGGATGATGGTGCCAGGCCAAGGCTTTGTACGACGAAGCCCAGGCGAAGATGAAGGAGGCGACTTGCCACTTGCACACCTCGAGCGCCCTCGAAGCTTGAACCGGTCTGAAAACGGTCTGTTTTTAACACCGTGAATAAGAAGCCCCAAAGCCGAAGCCCCTCCTTCACGCTGCCTCGCTGCAGCTCGCTGCTTTCGGAAGCTTCGGCGGCTTCCGCTTTCCGGAGGCCGAGCTGGCCGAGCAGGCGTCCTTGGAGGCCAGCGGGGCAGCGGAGCGCTACAAGGCCTCCATGCACCGAGCCTCGTGCTTGCGCTTCAGCGCCGTGCTTGCTTGACGCTGCCGCGCAAACTTCCGCTTCAGTGCCGTGCTTGTTTGGGGGTGTTTGATTTTGGTATCGCCACAGTCCATTCCGCAGTCGCGTGCACGCTTCCACCTACCTGCCACATAAGGGTTAGCCAGCGTGCTGTGCATTTCGGACTCGCTCCGGGAAGTTGTTCTTGGATATTTCGGGCTTCGATTGCTCGGTGCCGCTAGCAGAAGGTCATAGGCATGGTACCAGACGACACTCTTTCGAAGAACCAGGGTGCGGCCACTGTGCAGGACTACTCTGCGCAAGCCGACCGGGACGCACAGCAAGCTTCCATGGAGGCTGCCAGGTGGGCTCTCAGATCAGACAGACCGCCGCGCGCGCGCGCGCCGTCGCCGAGCAGATTTGGCGGCTTGCCAGGCTCGCCAAAGATGCTGCCGTGGCCAAGCAGGAGGTCTGGCGGGAGCTCCAGGGCCGAAATTAGGAGGTAGAATTCAACCTCTGGGCCCTGATCCCTCCTTTTGAGTTAAGCTTCTGAAAGCTCTCCATACCGCAACTGCGGCACCTCCAGGACCAGTCCTCAGCACGTTGATAATCTGCAAAACCTTTCCGTCCACACCACCCCGATGCACAGGCGCAAAAGCTGCGGGCGGCAGCAGGCAAGATCATGATTGAGGCCCCAATACTCCTGTGGCGCAGTGCAACAACTCTGTTTCCTTCGAGCTGAGTTATCGTCGAACGTGAGCACTGCATGGGCGCCGGAGCTTTTAAGCCTCCCCGAGGACGACGAGCTCTGAGCCAAGTCCTGAAACCGGCACTCTGTTAATGAGCGGTGGGAGTGGACTGCTGCCCGCACGCTTGAGGACACATCATGATCAGGAGTGGTGCGGATAGTGGTGATGTTGTTTCCGCGGCGTTCGGTTTACCAACTTGCACGGTCGAGTAGACATCTGGGTTCTGGCGGGCATTGAGTCGTATGGGTCGCTTTGCAGAGAAGCGATGCTGGCAGTGCTCCGCTCCGCCACCAAGGAGGCAGACGATATGAAGCGATTAAAATGCGGATGCCACTTCGAGGGACGTGCTGGATCAGGCTTTCAGCTACGGGCTCCGCCAAAGGGATTGCAGCTCCAGCTCCCAATGCGACAGCAGAGATAGCCACACTGACAAATATCTATGCGGATGCTGCCTCTGTGCGTAGTGCTTGACTTCCTGGCAGACAGGACGTCTTGCTCCGCCCTGCTGAGCAAAACAGCTCCATGTGATCCTGAGTCCAGCTGCCGTTGCCTTGTTGAGTAGGTGTTAACTTCAGTTGCTGTGGCCACAGCTAGGCAAGGGCAGCAATCTTGCTCCCAGCTATCCTCCCGCAGCTTCTGAAGAAGCCTTCAAGCTGGGTGCACAGTGCCAGAGTGCGACTGACTCGTTGACCTCGCGGGCATCTCAGCTTCGGATTTGTTAACTTCAGTCGTTGAGCTTTATTTCGTTGAGGCTAGCGGCTAAGTCGATTCTACCATGCCGCCGGCTTGGTGTCTGACGGACTTTGAGGAAGGAGCTCTACAGTCTGCTCTCACACGTGTCGACGCCTTGCGGAATCCCAGGTCGGTTCCGACCCCCGGGGTTGACGTGTCGGTCTTAAGAGGCCGCTGTGAGGGTTTGACTTCGGAATCGCGGCCCAGGTCGGTTCCGAGACCCAGCGTGACAAGCCAAGGCCTGCTCGCCGTCATGATGTTTGTTGCCGTTCTGCCTCTTCTGCTCGATCTGCTCATTGCGAATTCCGCCGTTCCTGAACGTCGCAGGCAGCCAGGACGACGACAACCGCCCGCTCAGGTCCAAAGGCTGGGCGGGGACCAGGATTCGAGAGTGCAGACTCGACTTCTGCGGTAGCTGTTGGCCTCCGGAGGCCTTTTGCCCGCCATTGGCGTGGGCGCCGCCGTCTACTGGATCACTGGAATCGCATCCATGACCACCCTGGGCCTGGCTCGGCAGCCCAGCAAAGAGGGTCTAGCAAGAGAGACTCTGAGTCTGCCGAGTTCTGCCGTCGGAACGCTCAGGTTGGGATTGGTGCTGGAGTTGGGTATGGCGTCGGCAGGCCTGCTGCGATAGGATCTGCGAGAGGTGCCGGGTTGTTGCCGGTCGGCATGTGGTGCGGTCAGAACTTGCCCTTCTTTTTGACATTCCGTCAGTGGTATCGTCGTCGTGGATCACTGGAACATCGCAGAACATCCGACGAAACCCCTGGTTACAGCTGGATCGCCGACAAGATGCAGAAGAAAGGAGACGGCCAGAACAAAGTGTCGGTAGCTGAGCAGTGGCTTGCAGTGCCTTGTGGCTGTGTGGCCTGCAGCTCACCGTTCGCGCTGTGAAGCCAACTTCTTCATGCAAACTGCAAAGTTGTCCGGAGACTCGAGACTCCAAAGATGCTGCAGGAGAGACCACCATGCTGGTAAGCAGCCGCGAAGATAGCGTTAGCATATGCAGTTGACGTTGAGAGCCGTGCTTAGCAACGCAACCTTGGTCGCGCATGCCCCATACTCCTGCCATCGTGCTGACGCGGATCCGTTGAATCAATTCGAAGTCGCATCCACCGAACTATCAATCCCCCAGCTCCATCCCAGCACAAGTGAACATCTGCCCCTGGCCATGTGCTTGCCTGCATGAGCTGTCTGCAGTGCTGCTGCCCAAAAACTTATACATTGGGGATCTTTGAGGTGCTGTTGCATTCTCCAGGCTAGTGTGGGCGATCAGGGAGTTGAGACTTCGTCGTTCGCAGGTCAGGAGCTGAAGAGGGCAAGTTTGAAACAATAGTATTGAAACGGCCAGAACCAATAGTGGTGGCCTGGTATCCTCTATCTTGTGAGCCTTTGCCTTATCTGCGACGCCTCCAGCAGAACTTTGTCAAGCATCTCAGGCAGATGGATCAGCTTCCATGGGCGGTCCAGGTGCGATTCGAGATCGGGATCAGAGCTCCGGCGTTGTTCGAAGTCACTTTTTGGATAGTTTCATTCGGATGCTTGAACAGGAGATGCTAATCATTCGCAATCCTGATTTGTTCCGACCCATTGGTGTTGCGCAAGGCAGCCTAGGAATGGTCACGAACTCATCATGCATGCAACACTCCCACCGGCAGCGACCCAAATCAGGATCAAAGAACAGAAGTGCATGGGCAGTGGCATTCTGTACCGTCTGCAGGTCGCGCTCCAGCACTGGCAGGACTGTCCCTGATGCCTAGGGGTCAAAGGGACAGGGAGAGAGAGTAAACCTGAACACGAAGCGTTTTCACTTAGCTAAGCAACGTACACAGTTCAGCCAAGGGAGGAGTGAAGAAAGGTGGCCCAACGCATCAGTATGAGCGCCACTGCTGCAGATCTCTCCATATGATTCTGCCGGACTCGGTGGGGGGACCTCGCAGGGCACCCGGGCACCCAGCCGACCGAGACTTCTCTTGAGTTCAGCCTGGAAACAGCGCCATTGGATCGCCTCTCTGTGCCCTGTTTGAAATCTCCCTTCGGGATGTGCTACACTCCGAGACCACTTTGAGTCACAGGGGCGGAGTCTCTGCATGTCTCTGCAGTTTCTGAGCTCCGTTGGTGATGGCGTTTTCCCACAACATCAGGGGAACACATTTCCCTTTTGCCTTTTGTTTCTCCACAACAGCAGTTGAGGCCCGGGGACACGGAGAGAGATCCGGGCATCCTGGCGGTATTCTCGGTTCGGGACGTCCGAGCCTTTTTAACGAACGTGCACCCGACACAGCCGCGGACCTCCAACAGAGGGCGTGCCTCCACACGGCGACTCGCCCCTAGGACCTGTGAAAGAAAGAGGATGTCGGAGATTTCACTGCGGCTGATACCGCGAGTCCTTTCAACAGACGGGCGTCCCTAACGGGCCTCAAGGCTGGTGAAAGAAAGAGCAAAAGAGAGAGTGAGACAGGGGTCCGATATACTTTGCTTGCCATCTTTGGGAAGATCAATCATACTCTCGCACTCTTTCAAAGCCGCATACCAAATGGGGGGCCATGTGACCAGCCCCTTATGCTCCGGCGAAGAAGAGAGGTCCATAAGCATGCACCCACCGAGACAGACCAGTGCGCATCCTTTGGCAGGGGGCGGGGGTGTGTCCACGCTTCCCTTTGGTTGCCGTTTCCTACTCGTAGCCGTTGAGGTTGATCACGGGATACTTGCGTTCAGGCGGGGTCGTGCCCGTTCCCCCAGCCCTGGCGAGAAAAGGAGAGCAACCGTTAGTGTTGCTCTGGGCAATCCTATGGCCCAATTGGAGGGCTGTTCACTCGGTATAAGAGGGAGAGGTGTCGTGAGACAGAAAAAGTAGTTCAGACCTTGTGCAGGAGTTTGTGACACGCCAGGCTGCTGGCAGGCTGCAAGTCTGAATGTGCTGTGGTGACATGCGCAGCCAAGCCGAATCTCAGGCTAATCCATGCATCTTCTGACTACCGGAAGCAGGCAACTGACCCCAGCTGATGTGGACGCCATTTGGGCCCAGTTCGAGCAGTACGAGCCAACGTGCATGACTTGGTGTGTGTTTTGAGTGTTCCTTTTCAAAAAGTGTCCGCTGCAACTGGCTAAGGCATGCTGCCAATGCCCGCGCACTGGTGCGCGGATCCGGTGCTGCGTCAGAGCCTCTGATAGTTTGGGATAGGCCCCCGGGCAGCTCCTCCCTTTGCCCCTTTCGGACGGGTTTGGGCGAAACCCGTGTTCTCCAGCTCAGAACTGTGTAGAGGACTTGCTATCATGGACAGGAAGTCCCATGATGTCCCTCCATTCCAGATTGCCCTGCGTGGTAAAAGGTCCAGCAGCAGCTCGCAGGCAGGATTCAGGATCATGAATCATGAGTGGAATACCCGAGCCGCCTAGCCAGGCATGTGGGTTGATTGTGTTGCACTCGTGTAGCAGCCCATGAGAGGAGGTCACAGACTTGCACCGTCGCCGCATGTCTCATCCGAAGCGGCCTCAGAAATACTTCGCTCTACCAATGCCAGGGCCCTGCGTCCTTCAGCAGCGGCACAGGGCCGACCTTCGTTGCCACACAGGCGGCCGAGGCCGGCTTGCCCCACATGCCCCGCTTCTTTTTTGATTCTCTTGTGCACGTTGACACTTCCTTTGCGCAAAGACACCGCTACCTGCGCTGCAGGTTTGAGCAGGCTGAGACGCACAGATAGCGATCATCGCAGAAGGTTTTGACGTTCAGGAAGACGGGCTCAGGCTCAAGCTATGCTGACTTGGATGGAGATCGGATCGCATTCTCGGATTCGGGATTCACCGCACTCATCTGCTTGTTAACGAGACCCAGGACGAGAAGCTCGTTTTCTCTTGGACTTTTCTTTCCAGCGGAGGCTTTCTGCACAGCCAGAAGCTCAGACCGCGCTTGGCGACACTTTTGCTGGGCCCTGGACTTTGAATCAAGGGCCTGGCCACTTTTCCCGGTGGGCAGCAGTCCACAATCCAGCTTGAACGCCTCCAGAGAGAGATGCCCCGTGGCAATTCCGGCTCGATGAGCCGAGAGCGAGACATTGCCAGACATCTCTGATACAGAACATGCTGATCACATGCAATCTTGTTGCTGGCCCAGCAGACGCCAGAGGCTCTGCTTGGAGAGGAGCGCAGGTGCGTAGAAGAACTCCGAAGAGCCCACAAGACCAGAGCGCTGCGCTCCCCTGTGCCGCCGCACCCTGGGCTCTGTTGCCGCTTCTGTTTCACTGGCGCAGGGAAGCTAAGTCCGCTGTATTGGGAGAGTGAGACCTGATGGCGACGATCCCTGGACTCTCTTGAGCCCTTAGCCGCCTTAGCCTGAGTTAATATAGACGTTACGTTTTGACGCCTCCCAGCATAGGGCATCCGCGCCATCAGCAGTAGGACATCAGGTTAGCATCCAGAGGGCCTGGCAGTCTGAAGCTAGGTGCCCAACTTAGTCGCAATTCCCATGGGCCGAAAGCATTTTTACTTGCAGGAGTCAAGAGTAAAGGTATTATGCCGAGCAGACCAGTGGGATGCTTTAGATGGCCGGGCCCGGGAGAGAAATCTTGGAACTCAGCCTTTACCCGGAGCGGGCCGGAAGATGTCGGAAAGCTCTACTGAGTCGGTGCATTTGGTAGAGGAAGGAAGGGTTTGACATGATCCTCCGGCCACAGTTGGGCCTGAAGGCTTCATGAAGCTCTCACGTGGAGGATCCAGTGGCCATGAGTGGCAAATGCAGATATCAGCTTCTGTCGTCATGGTACTGACTCTCCGACGGCTGTTCTTAAAAATCTTTGTCGGCGGCACCACGCTAGACACCTCCGGAATCGCAGAAAAGGCGGCCGTGCGCAGGTAAGCGAGCGAGCTGTAGCCAGCTGGGAAGACAATCACTGATGCCTGGGTCGATGTTAGTAGGGCATGAACAAGTTTAATGGCCGCAGCCATCGGGGTCCCGACGCCGACCGCTAGCTGCTAGTTGCGTGCGTGATCATTGCAACCGACCGGCTACCGGCGCATGCAAGCAATGCAAGGTGCATCGGAGGAGCGGGCGCAGGACCCCGCGGCGGCCCTCATGCTGGCAACGGTCCGAATGATTCGAAACTGGGTCGAATCATCCTTCAGCGGGGGGGAGGCGGCGCGGATGGAGCGCAAGGGCCAACTGAAAGCCCGGTTCAAGGTGGAGCTGTCGTCGGAGATGTGGAAGGAGCTGCAGACGTTCGTAAAAGCCTCCTTTGCCCTGTCGGGCTTGCAGCTGAAGCGCCTGGAGCGGGGTGAAGGCTCCTGTGTCGAGGTGCTCATGTCAGGAGAGGCCCGTCAGCAGTATGCCCTCAAAAATCCTCACGTGGTCGTGAAGAATGCAGAAAAGCCTTCCGACGGTGCCCTTGAAGGCTTCTGCACTCCGGAGACGGCAAAGCTTCCAGTGCACGAGGCTTCTACACCATGCAAGGTCCCATCGCAGAAGCAGGCGAAGCGCCCACTGGCGTCGTCGCCTGAGAAGTCGAAACGCAGCAGGACCAAGGAGGCGATGGCGAAGATCTCGTCCATGCCCTTGCAGGATGTGCACGCGCGAGAGGTGTCTCGCGATCTGAAGGGTGTTGTTGCTGCAAAGGACGGGCTGACTGCAGCTCTGAGTTCGAAGGATCTGCACGAGGCTGTCGCATGGCTGAAGGGGCTGGGGAGAAGGGAGGTCGCTCCCGAGGACTTGGCAAAGACGCGCATCGGCCTCGCGGTGAACGAGTGCCGCAAGCAAGGGGACCCATACATGACGAAGCTCGCTGACATTTTGCTTCAGAGGCGCGCCATGAAATTTCTGGGTTGTCGCGTTGGCTACACTGATGTGTGGGTTGTCAAATGTGCATCAAGTCCGGCAGGTGGAAGAAGGCCTGGCGACAAGCCCAGGAGCAAAAGGGCAGCGAGAGGGACGCAACATGAGGGCCGGACATCCAACAAGACGTGGGCCGATCCTCTACATGGGGGGTTTGTACAGGATTTGCTTTCGTGTCGAGAGGCCGTTAAGAGGAGTCGATGTGTACCCAAGACTCCCACGGATTGAAATTGCTGGAATGTTGAAGATTTGGCAGGTAGTATGAACAGAGCAATGCAGCTTGACTGCAGAGGTGGCAGGCGGCAGGAGCCGTCCTATGACCACTCCACGGAGGGTGGCTTGAATTTGATTTGCACATCAGAGCAAAACTGGCTCTCGTGCTACTGCGTTTTTCGGGCTCACTCTAACTCTAGCTGAAGCCTATCGACGAGAGGCCGAGAGGCTGCTAATCAGCCGCCCCTGCAGTTCAGGCTCAAGCCTCGACATAAGGTTGTAAGTCGTAGGGCGGTTCAAGGCACACTATGTTAGGGCGTGGGTCGTGCCTACAAAGTTCAAGGTTGGGTCAGGGCGATTATGTTTCAGAAATCCTGTAATCAATATCTTGAAGTCATTGCTAACCCTGCAAATCTCGATGGTAAACATTTCACGGCATGCTGACCGATGCTTAGTGGAGTCAAGACAGACTCTCACTTTCGCTGGATATGCGAGATGGACCTCTCTTGAAGGCCTTCTCATGTGTTGATGTCTGCATCTGGCCGGGGGCCCCAGCTGTGCAAGCTACTTCAAGGGTGTTGCGGCGTCACATGTCGCGATGTTGCAACATCAGCTAGGTCAGCAAGCCTGTAAGCCCGTAAGTGCCATCTCTCCGTGCTCTTGAGGCTCCGCCACAAGCCAGCGTGGCTTCGTCACGCCCAATAGCGATGCAAAGCCGGGCCGGTCCAGCCTGGAAGTTCTGTTGCACGGGGGTACGTACTACTTTGCTGCGGCTGTCTTTGCAGGCTGACGGCAAGTGACCAAGCAGTGGCGGGCAGCCTTGCAAAAGCTGTCCAGGGCACAGATTGAGACGGTGAGAACATGGGACTCATGGGACCTTTGAAAGCTAGAGAATGGGTAATGATTGTGACAGCAACACAACCCTGCGAGCCCATGTTTCGAGTTCTTCTGAGGCAACAAAGCTTGCGCTTTATCCCCTGGACACTTGGAAAAGCAGGAAGCAGGCCAGCGGTGGCCAGCGGCCTGATCGCTGCTTGAGCTTCTGCGCTCCCCAGAAGCTCTCGCAGGCCCGGCGCTTCGGAGAAACGGCAGAGTTTCGGCACCTCCGCACCCTCACTGGTGTCTACCGGGGTGTGGCCGGGGCCTTGGGGCTATGTAGCGGCTATAGGCGGCTAGGTCGGCTGCTGACGGTTTTCTGCACATGAGGTTCCGAAACTTCTGCTGTACTCCCCCTACCAGGCCTCGTCAACTTGGCTTTTGGATTCAGACCAGAGCTGCAGTGCATGGCAGTAGTGCCAAGCGAGGCTGTGTACATGAGCGCCTACATCAGCGCTCGAGATGCTCTCTCGAAAGGCCCAGCTCGAAAGTCACATTGACGCGCTGCACAGAGTCAGAGGGCTTCTGGGCGACAGGCCCAGCTCCTTTCGGGGACTCTGGCCTGACTTTCGTGGCGGCAGCGGTGGTGGCCGAAGCTGGGCGCAGAGTCTGTGCAGAGCCAGAGCCATGCTAACGGCTAATGCACCGCTCGTTCTCAGGTGGCCGGTTCCGTCATTCGACTCCCGATGGAGGCCTGGCCAGAGTCCCGGGGTCCATCGAAGGCTTGCAGCCTTGACCTGGCCTGCACCACCGCCGTGGGAGACTCTAAGTCCAAGCCGCCGCTAAGCGTCCAATGTCACCTTCTCCAAACCTTCGTAGCATCACATTCTTTCTCTGTGGGGTAGACAGCTTGATTCCGGGACATGACCGCATGCACAAAGCTCCCGCATCAGTATCAGTCCTGTCCTTTCACTTTCAGCCGAGCCTGGACCAATAGTTCGTTCTGATGGCAGCAGAGTGGGTTTGTCACTCGACTCCCTGTGAAGAAAGCCCATGGTGTCTGAAGGCGCTTGCAGGATTCGGGGTTACTGGTGCTTTGTGGCAAGTGAGGCTAAGTCAATGGCCTTGCGGCTTAGACCTTTACATGCTCTTTGGCAGGTGACAAAGCTCCGGCTGCAACTTGGTGCCTACCGCAACAGCTTCCATGCTTTTCAGGCCGGGATGAGAGCATCCTGCGAGGAGTGTTTGAACTGCTTGGATCGATACCGAAGTGGAGAGCCAGAGATGCCCAATCTCCGAGCCAGCTCGCGCAGGCACTGCTACTTGCGTCGTGCCTATACGTACTTAAACTTGTACCTAGACTTATAATTAAGTGGCGCTCTGCAACGCTGCCAGAAAACGACTCAGATTGCAACGCTGCTGTGTCCCTCTGTCTATGTAGCTGACAAGGCATGTTCTTCATTTTGAGATAACTCCAAAGTGATGGAACTGCCAATAGTGCAAGTCTCCAGGATTTGGGAACGAACTTGAAGGACCTCTACCGCGGCAGCTTCTTGTGCGGCTGCCCAGTCTGGAAGCTTGAGAGACGATGTTTAGCACATGCTCAAATTCCCAATCTCTTGCTGAAACTGTTCGCAGCCGCAGAAGAAACGAGGCCGCAAACGGTCTTGCACGATTGCTCCTACAGCGCATGTGGGTGGCTAATTTTCGAGACGAGCAGGCCCTCAGACGTTTGCTCTAAGAAGCCGAGATGCTCTGTCACAGTTGCCGGGATGCGAAGTCTTGTGGAGTTTCCTGGGTGGCAGCCTTGCATGTTGCCGACTGTTGTAGAGCCGGACACAGCAGTTTCCTACCAGGCAGCAATTGTATTCCCTCCGCGGTTCCTCGGACTTGCCAGCAGCCCTCTCAGAATCTCTCAGTTCAAGAGGACGATGTCGAAGCCTGGTAGATTCGCCGCGCTTCTCATGAGCTGATGTCCTCCGCCTCATGTCGCGGCTTGTTGACGAGCTCTCAAGGTGTACGAGAATCTCTCGCTGGGCATCTTCACTGGTACTCTGACGGCTTTAGCGCGTGCCCCATTGGCTGCTTCAGCTCTAGCTCGTTCTGTTCGACGTTGTGTCTCGTGCGGCCGCTTTGCTGATGGAAGCTTCGAATACGGACTGCCTGCCCTTCTTGGCTTTTTGCCGCGACTCACGAGGTGACGAACCCGTTTGACGTAATCAAAACAAGTGGCCGCCTCGGTTGGGAGGTACAGTAATGCAAACACCGCGAGACGTGTGTGTAGTGAGCGAAATTGCCGAGGAATCATTGGCAGGCCTGCAGGCACAAGCCCTCCAGGCATCGTGGGCCGCTAGCGTAGTCGGAGGATTGTCCATCTGACGAGAGCCTTCTGCTGTGGACTGTTCACGTGCCTGACAGTGCGTCCATCTGCATCATGGCGACTGCATCCAGGCATCGTCGAAACGGCTCGGAGTATCTTGAGCGGGTGCCCAATCATGTCGGTGGCAGCAACACGTCTGAAGCATGAAGCAGTGATCATGACCAGATCCTAGCAGACCTTCGCTAGCCGAGATCGGCTGTCACGGGAGCGTCGGCCGTGGCTCTCTGAGGTCTTGAGGGCCTCCGTGCATTCTGGCAGGGGGCGACCTGGCGCCTCGGATAGAGATAGCTCCGATTCGATGGAACAGGGGAAAGCGGCACGTCGTGTCGATGTCTTCTGTGGAGTTCAAAAAAATCCGGCTCTGACATGGACAGCAGAGCATGCAGCCGTTCTGGGACTTGGGCGTCTCTTGTTTGAGGCGCGTCCTCCACCTTGCTCCAAGCCACGGCGTGTGCGCTGTCTGCTGGCCTGCTGAACTCTGTAGGGTTTTTCATGTCGTATTGCGGCATCCATCCTCGAGGTACATGCTCTTGTACGAGATCGTCAAGCTGCAGCTAGCTTCCTTGCGGGAATGACTTTCAGAAATGTCTGAGTCTTGCTCACAGCAGCTGTGGGGAGAAGGGATCTGATCCGGCCGAGATTTAGCTACAGGGCCATAGATTGGTTGTGGTGACAAGTCATTCCTGCCCCTGGTACAGGCGCATCGGCGCAGAATCGATTTTCCCAGATTAGATTGAATGCGACATCCACTTCACAAAAGGGATCCGACACTGCCGCTTGCCTGCGTAATTCATTTGATGCAGCTCTGCTCACTTGTTACTTAGGGCTGGCGGTGCCAAGACCATGCAACTTGGCCACTCAGCCGAGCCACGGCTCAAGTCGCTGGGATCGGAGCTAAAGACAGTGCAGGTGTCAATTGATCTCTGTGGCACCCTGCCGCCTTGACGAGTTCGGCAGAGGATTACTTGAGCCATCTACAGCGAAAGGGCTCACAACACTATCGCCCGTGAGCCGGCTAGGGGCCCTAGTAACCAGCAGCCTCAAACCGTCAGAACCTTTTGCCCAGCTTTGCCGGCCGTCCGTGTCTTCAATGAGCGATGGACCCAGCAAGGCTTCGCCGTCGAGTTTCTGGATTTTTCGGATGCATGGAGAACTGGCGCATCCCGGTAGGCCCCGGCTACAGCGTCCGCGGCCGGACTCACCGTGGAACAGGTGGAGGAGCCATCCAGACAAGGGATGAGGATGTCAGGGAGCGGGATGATGGCTTCCTAGATTTCTTGAGGCTGCGGTGTTCATTCAGCCCGCAGAGGGCACATGTTTGGACTCAGTTGCGTTGGTGACGCTTTTCGGCTGGCAGGAGTTGCGGAGGCTTGGCTCCAAGGCCGTGTAGCTGCAAAATCGGCTTGCAGGATGTTTCAACGCACATGAGCCGGCAGGTGGAGGCCCAGTCCCTGTCCTACGGTGATGGCGTGTGGTACCCGGCCAAGGCAAACTCTCAAGATCAGAGAGACTGAGCAAGACTTCTACACAAGGACATCCTTGTGCTTGAGCTGCTTGTGGTAGGACCGATGCTGCCACTCTCAGAGAGGAGGGAAGAGAGGACGAAGTGATAACAAAGTGATAGAGAGCCCCTGGAGGGCTCCACAGGAGAGCACGCAGCGAGTGCCATCGTAGTCACCAGCTGTATGCTACCTGCCAGGTCCTTGAGGTTGCGAGAGAAACGACTCGCGTGAAGGCAGGAAACTATTAGAGTCTTTGTGAACGTTGCCTTTGGTTACCATTCATCTGCCAACGATTCCACTGCCCTTCGACAAGCCAGGCCCAGAACTGAAGCTGGCAGACAGAACAGCCACACAGACGGATCTGACCCTACCGTTGCGACCACCACACGCTACCGGGTGTGGGCAGGTACACTTCCTGGGCTTTGACGACGATGAGGTCAGGCCTTGCAAGCAACATGTCGGTCGCTGTTGTTTGCTCCCGTCTGCCTCGACATGGGGTTGGATGTCGGGTCTCTGTTTCGGCAGCTGGTGTTGTTGCTGGAGTGAGGAAAGGCAGGTTGCAGCTACTGGCTGCTGTATCTTGTCAGTCACAACTTGTCAAAAAGGATGAGTGGCTTCCTTTGCAGAGTCTGCGACCATTCCAGGACGGGGGTGGGTTCATTGTCTGGCAGCATGCTTCCAGTGCAAAACTTTTCAGAGCACATCTAGTGCCTGGACTCTTACGCTTGTGTTCGTGTGGCACCACCTACAAGTCGTTCAGACCTGCAAGAAGTTGCTGCTGCAGCTGGCAAGGATCCTCCCAACGTTGGCGCAAAGGCTCGCCCATGATGCAAATGATTGAGCCGACCTTGCAGTGCCACCTTATCATGAGGTCGCCACGCTTCCACTGTCTGCCACTTCTCTCAATACTGGTTTCACGTCGGAGTGTGGTATATGAGTTGGTGAAGAAGGAGTCTCTCGCGCGAGTCGGTGAGCTTCTCATGACCTGGGTCCTGGCTTCAACTGCGTAAGTGGCACTGACCTTGGACACACCGAGGAACTGCTCAAGGCATTCAGACAAACCGAGCAGTTGGTGCAGAAGGTGCGACGTGTGCTACTAGCAAAGAGTGCAAACTCCATCTCTGTCCGTCTACCGCCCACAGTTCCTCCTCGCCCCTCTGTTCGCGCAGGTCCAGGAGCGGACAGGCCTCCCAAAGGAGGACTTTGTGCTCTCGGGTTCCTTGCATCAGCAAACCAATGCGCTTAAACTCAAAGTAGGCCCACGGCCAGAACCTGCATCAACCTGCTCATGCTCTGTTGCATCTAAGATTGCCTCGACAACGCCAGCCTTTCCCGAGACCCTGTCCCCTACACCCGCACGAACCTCAAACTCTCATGCTGTCCTGAAGCTGAAGCAATGCGATAACTTCCACACCGTGATTCCGAACAGTACCACTCCATGCGGAAGTTTCAAAGTGTGCAAAAGCCATGATCAGGTAGGGCTTGGCCGGGAAGCATCTTCATCGTTTGACACCACTCCACCAGTGTTGCAATGCAGCAGTGAATTTTTTCTGTTCTTCTATTTCAGAAGTGAAGACACGGGAAAGCCAGCAAGTTTGATTTGCAAATCTCCGATGCGAACATATTCTCGGCGGGAACTTTTAAAACGGTGGCAATTACTTTGATTGCTGGGTGAACTCCTTGTGCCGTTTCACTGTAGGAGTCTGAAGATGGCAGTGCCCTTTGTGCTTGGAGGAGCTGGATCAGATGCGAGTGGAGGATTTGCAGGCCTGGATATACCCGTCAGTGTCGAGAAGTGTGTGTGCTTGCAGATACAAAATAGTACACACCAATGCAGCCGTCAAGAGATGGTCCTGGGTGAAGGCAGACTTTGAAGTTCTCGGCCTGGAAATGTCCAGTGCCCTGGCTGAAACTGCCTTTTAATAGGGTACTTGTGAGAGTCGCCAAGAGAAAAGTAGAGCCAGCTCTGTTCAAGCTTTGATTTGTCGGGAGGTGCTGTGTCTTTCGAAGAGTTCGGCCGTGCCCTTGTAAAGCTGCACGGACTGAGGAGGAGTGCGGATTCGCATCTGCGGTGGAGTGCACAGCATGGCTGACTGCAGGATCTACGAGCGAAAGAGCGGCCACATGCCAAACACTGGCGAATCTTGGACTGCAGAAGCATCCTAATTGCATTTCGTTCGTCGGATCGCGCCCTGTGCACGCTTGCAATCACAGAATCATCTGGAATCCTGTGAGGCTGCGGAGAGCTCCGCAGCTGTGGCGCCTCGCCTGGAGCAGGCCGGGGATTTGTCTTTACGCCGGAATCTGACGGGATCGGATGATCGGATCCCAAGCCTCAGCCAAGAGCATGCAGCCTTCCAAGCTGCAGTGTGTGCTCATGCAGGAGGTATTGGCTCTGAAGGAGAAGGCTCGGTGTGTGAGGGTTGTCTCAGAGTCAAAAATTTCAAAAAAGATGAGACACACACACACACACGCACACACACACACACACACACACACACACACACTTACACACTAGACTCACATCCGCTCGGACAAAGTGTCAGCGGTCAGGCCTCGTTTGCACAAGCAGAGAGGAACAGATGCGGGCCATGTCTCTAACGTCTCTGATATAGATATCGTGAACACAAGGGAAGGGCACCTGGTTTCTGCATTGAAGTCCCACTGCCCGAAGGTCTCATCCCTTGCAGATCGCGTGGATCTGCCAAAGAAGGAGGTGGGAGTCATGCCGCGCTTCCTTTTCTCTCTGTATCGGCGGCAGCTGAGGGTGGCCACAGTGGATCCGAAGTCCCGCTCCAAGTATGTGGGCAGTCAGTTTGCTGCGGAGATTCGTCCAGGTGTCTCTGAGAGTTTGTGAAAGTTGATTTGCTCGAGCTGCATTGGTTAAAGATTCCCTTGGCTGCAGTTTGTTGCTTTGACTGTTTGGCCAGCCTCAGCCAGCACCCAGGTTGAGCTGGAGGCACTGCAGCAGCAGGATCGACTCTCTGGTGTTAGGATTGCGGAGATGATGGTCGTAAGCAGACCTTACGCCTCAAGCCTTAAACGTCAGCCTTGTTACATCTGCCACCACCACCACTACCACGACGACTAGTAAAGTCATAGCAGAAGGAGCAGCAGCAGCAGGTGTAGTAGTAGTAGTAGTAGTAGTAGTAGTAGTAGTAGTAGTAGTAGTAGCAGTAGCAGTAGCAGTAGCAGTAGCAGTAGCAGTAGCAGTAGCAGTAGCAGTAGCAGTAGCAGTAGCAGTAGCAGTAGCAGTAGCAGTAGCAGTAGCAGTAGCAGTAGCAGTAGTAGTAGTAGTAGTAGTAGTAGGTAGTAGTAGTAGTAGTAGTAGTAGTAGTAGTAGTAGTAGTGTAGTGGTAGTGTAGTAGTAGTAGTAGTAGTAGTAGTAGTAGTAGTAGTAGTAGTAGTAGTAGTAGTAGTAGTAGTAGTAGTAGTAGTAGTAGTAGTAGTAGTAGTAGTAGTAGTAGTAGTAGTAGTAGTAGTAGTAGTAGTAGTAGTAGTAGGACAATGAATTGGGAGTGACGCAGAACTTTCTCGAAAGCATCACAATCCCATTGTGACGGAGCCACCCAATCCGCCACCCCAGCCAGACCCGGCCCAGCATGTGGGCGCAGAGAGAGAGCCAGCAGAGCCGGCCACGGCCACATCGACCACTGCGCCGCCCCCTCCCGAGCCCACACCAGATACACCGCCGCGCTGGGTCCCAACCGCAGCCGTTGCCAATGCCAGATTTGGGCTGGGCCTCCCTCCCATACCCGCACACGGGGCCACCGGCCGTTTGCGGCCATCGAGGATCCGAGCCAGATTCCGACCAGTGCGCGGTCTGTTGAGACTGCATCACAACCTTTTCCCAGCAGGCTCTGCGAGGTCACCCAACCCAGTGGCTGCGACAGACCGGCTATGCCCCCGGCCACGGGTGGGAGCACAGCTGCCAGTGCCCCAGCCGCCCCACGGCCGAATCCATCGGCGCCGCGCCGTTCACGGCTCAGATGGACAAACGCCACCGGGATGGTGAAGCGTGGCCGGACACAAATTGGTCTGGTGGCAGCGCATCTCTGGTTCTGGCTCCAGTGGCAGCCGACAATGGCGCCAGTGACGAATCCTTTTCATCCGGTGCCAAAGGCTGCCACACTGACTCAACGCGGAGGCACTGCCTTGCCACACAGTGCCTATGCCGTGACTTCTGTGCTTCCCCGCAGACACATGTGCAGTCATGCCGGTACTGTGCGACCACCTTCAGGTACTTCCCCATTCTGCACAACGGAGGCAAGCTTCCCCATGCATAGCCACCTGACCAGTTGCTTTTTCTTTCGTCAATCGGAAAGGAAGCTCACAGCCTTGCAACAACTGGATCTCTTTCGACTTCTGGGTCAGTTCACACTCACGTGAGCGCATACGCGGCAATCGCCTGCAACGTGCTGAACCCGCTCGCACGGCGTCCAATTGAATTGAAATAGTAGTAGTTTAGTAGTAGTAGTAGTAGTAGTAGTAGTAGTAGTAGTAGTAGTAGTAGTAGTAGTAGTAGTAGTAGTAGTAGTAGTAGTAGTAGTAGTGGTGTAGTAGTAGTGGTAGTGGTATTTGTAGTGGTAGTGGTAGTGGTAGTGGTAGTGGTAGTAGTAGTAGTAGTAGTAGTAGTAGTAGTAGTAGTAGTAGTAGTAGTAGTAGTAGTAGTAGTAGTAGTAGTAGTAGTAGTAGTAGTAGTAATAAGTAGTAGTAGCAGCAGTAGCAGTAGCAGTGAGATTACCAGTAGCAAGACTAGTACTAGTAGTACTTGTGTTAGCAGTAGTACAGCTTATGGCAATAGCAGTAATACTAGATGTACTTGTAGTAGCACTGGTAGTACCAGAATTAGTAGTACGAGTAGCACTATTAGTAGTAGCAGTCGTAGCAGTAGCAGCTGTTTAGTTTATTGGTGGCAAAAGTAGAAATGTTGCTAGTACCATGCTGCTGCCGCTCCTACAACAACTACCGCTGCTGCTGCTGCTCCTGCTCCACCTACTGCCACTGCTACGGCTGCAGCTAATGCTACGGTTACCGCTACCGCTACTGCTACTGGTACTGCTACTCTTGCTACACCGCTACGTCGCTGCTACACTGCTCTACCATTATTGCTGCTCCTGATAGTGGTCCGTCTGCCACCTCCTCCTCCTGCTGCTGCTACTGCTGATGTCACGACGACTTCGAGTGACCACCACGACTGCTGCTACAGAAGAAACATCCATCCGCCTCCGACCTCCGGGTCGCAATGTAAACTCGAGTCGTCGCAGGTTCAGTCCATGTCGCAGAGGGTGGATGGCTCCCTGGAGCAGGTCCATCAGAGCTGTTGAGAATGCTTCGCCTCCGGTCCAAAAGCTCCAAGCGCAAGTTGTGGGAAAGGTCGAGTGCTGCAAGGAGCAAACAGAACAAGCGGTGCGCGCCCTTGTGTGGGGACCGCTGGAGCGAGTGGGGTCTGAGGTGGTCATGTGCGCTGAGGTGGGGATGGTAGCTCGCCTGGCCGAGACACTGCAGAAGCAAGCAATGGATTCGTACAACATGGAGCAGGCAAGTCCGACGTGTCAAATCATCGTAGCATTCACAAGCTCCGGCATGCAACAGTAGTAAGCCCTGGCGTGGAGCGCTTGACAAGCCAAGACCTCGTTCCTCTCAACAAGGAAGGCGTGAGGAAGCGTGCGCCTCTTCAACAGATCCCGCTAGGAAGAAAGTGCTAGGGCTCGGGCTTTGCAGCTCGTCGAACCTCATTCGAGCATTCCGTTCACAGTCCCTGCCCCTCAAACCTGCTGCTCGTCGAAACAGGTCCGAACCGACAGAACACCTCGCAGCTGACACCTGCTTCACCCGAGCACAGGGTTCTCACAGCTGTTGTTGGGCCAATTCCACATCTGCTGGGGGAGGGGTAGCAAAACATAGCTGCAGGGCTCCTGAAGCTTGCAGGCACTCGTGAAATCTGAGAGCAAGCTGATCGGTCTTCAGGCACTGTTCGATTTCGGTCACGTTTTCTGTAGCAAGTCCAAGGGACAGGAGTTCATACTGCACAAATGTCAGTGTTGTCACCACCTCGCCTGCTGGACCAAGCAAAGATTTCTGTTCCCGAAAGTCCGGAAGTAGTGTCTTGTCGAGGCGTCCTCTGTGAGCGTTCTTGAAGGCCGTCTGAGGGCGTTTGCTGAAGCCCAAGATCCGTTAGAAGAGAATGGGGACGACATGGGATGTCATCCTGGCGCCCAACATCCAGCTAATATCTGGCAGGTGATGTAGAGCGAGGTGAAGTTTGCGTAAGCCCTTCTGCATCCAATGCGGTCAACGAGAAAGCGCGGCCTCATCAAGAAAGGTGTAGTGGGAAACGTGGGCAGAGTAGGCTTCCACCTGAGGTCAAAGCAGAGCTGGAAAGTGCCGTCCTGACAGCCATGCAGGCACTGGCCTCAGGGTCCTGTTTGTAAGAGAGTGGGATGAGTGGTTCGCAGCAGTGTTAAGCTTGACCGAGGAAACTCGGGTACTGCCGCGTCTGCAGGTTCCTGCCTAGGAAGTGTCAGATTCTTTGCTTTTTTTTTCCGACTCCGAGTTGAGCAGACAGGTGCTGGAAAGGGACCATCGCAAGCTTGGTGATGCCGTGGAGGAGGAGACGCGCTGGCTTCGAGATGCCGTGGAGGCCGGGGTCGCTCTCTTCGACAAGCCCAGATGTTTGTATCGCGAGTCTAGCGAGGTGCAGACCTTTTCAGTGATGCTGTACCCCCATGTGCTCCTTTGCCAGGCGATCAGCGAAAGCCTGAGCCTTGGATCAACGCAATGGAAAATTCTGGCCCTCACGAAATTCTGTGACGCCTCTTCTTGGTGCCCTTGCAAGGTCTGGGCCTGGACCTTGCGACGCTCAGCAAATCTATCCTTTCACAGTCCTCTGTGAGTGCTGCTGAGCTGTCGAAACCAGCTCGGAAGAGTTCGCGAGTGCAGGCGACAGTCGAGGCAGTTGTGTTTGGGGAATCACAGTTTGTTCCGGACCATCCTCGGTGACACGGTGCCGGATAAAACAGGGCGTGGGATTAAACTTGCTTTCCGCTGATGCCTGGTCACTGCGTTACTCTGTCAAGCGTTTGATGGAAGCCGCGTTTTCTCCCGCCCAAAAGAACGAGGAATGGAGATGAGGATGGAGTGCGGCTGGGCCGCGAAGGATTCCGGGTTGTTGGACTTCGGCTGAAAGCCGTGAGGCTGTCGTCCTGGCACGCATAGATTCATAGAGAAAGAAGTTGCAAGCAAGCTTCCGGAGTCTGCTCACCGAGGAAGTCGCTGTCTCCCAGTGTGCAGGGGCGGGTCCGGGGCCCAAGAAAGATCCAGGCCTAGGACCTAGGCTTCTGCGGGTTCTGGAGCTAGAGTCTACAAGTAAGTGTCGTTGCTGGGATGATGCTAGCTTGCTAGCTGCTAGCCTGTAATAGCCTGTGCAAGCTGTGAAGCCTTTGGATGCGTTAGTTTAGCTAAAGCCTGGGCTTGGATCCGGAGAGTCGCCCGCAGGACTCCCGCGCAATGTCTCCCAGCAGTCCAAACGATGCGGCAATGGCACGCTGCCGTCATTTTGCATCATTTTGCCATTGCTTCGAACGGTTGTTTTGCAAGCGTCATGTGGGAGCAGGCAGGCGAAACCACTTCCGGAATGCATGTTTTTAAGTCGCGTGGTTTCATATTGGGCGTGCTAACCGGACAACAGAGTCGGTGCAGCCGAGTTCTTGCAGGGTGGACTCACGTCCCCGGAGGGCCGAAATGTCTGCCGCTCAGTGCATGCCTGTGCCGCACAGGAGCTCCAAGCCCTTTTCGAGTATGCAAGCCACAACCAGGCAGCCCTCTTCGCGCAGCTGGACACAAATGGAGACGGCGACGTCAGTCTGCAGGAGTTCCATGCGGCCAAGGCTTCTTGGGATCTCGGGAGAAGTAGGGCATAGCGCGAACTCTCAACAAACCCACGGCACGGCTGCACGGGCACAAGCCCCTACAAGCTAAGCTACGACTTTTCGGAGGTGTCGGCTGGCAAGTGGTAAAACCGTTCGTGACATGTGCATCTGCTTTTGGCAGGTCGCGGAGGGACAGCAGAAGGCAGGGCTCGGTCTGTTGTGCTGGTATGGCAGGGAACCGATGTCTGTTGGCGTGCTGAGTCCCATCAACACTCTTCTAATTCAGGCTCTCTGAGCACTTTGTTTTTGGTGGCAGGCGGACGTCTTCGAGAAGTTAGATGCCGACATGGACGGCCGTGCCAGTGGCTCAGAAGCAGGAGTTTCGGATTCGTGTCCGGACGGCATCTCTGACATCGATTGGCGAATGTGCATCTGCTCGAAGAAGTTTTCACTGGAACTGGACACTTGAGGGGTTTCAGGCCAGGGCCGGTTTAAGAACGTGAGTGTCTCGGGCCTGTCAGAGTGTCTGAGCTTCAGGTGAGCCGAGAGGAGTTTGCCTCGGCCACGGCACCGCACTTGGAGACGCCCCTCGACTCGGTAGGCCGGGCGGGCTTGTGAGCTCAAGGTGGCCGCGGCACGCCCACCTCGGCTATCCAGTGACGGCGTCGAGGCACCGATTGCACTGGGCCGCACCGAGCTTCGGACGTCGGATGCCACGTTTTTGTCACGTCGCAGGCAGAGGCGAAGCGGGCCAGCCAAGACGCGGGCCTAAAGGCCGACGATCTGAATGCAGAGCTGGACATCGCGGAGCTCGCCTCCCAGCTTGCCGCGCGAGGAGACAGTTTTGATGTGGGATCTGCTTGAGGCTGGACGACAATCCGCTCTTTGCGGCCGTGCTCTCTGAGGATCCTGCGAGGCGCTTCTGCCAATGCTTTCACTCCAGAAAGAGAGAAGCTGAGCATAAGCCTGCACGAAGCCGTTCCAGAAGCCCCCGAAGCACGGTCAGAGTCAGGGCCTTGGCACTCCTGCGAAGTGCTACGGCGCAGCAGCTTCACGCTCAAGACCAGGCACTTTGCACAGGGCCCTGCCGGTCCTTGAGTTGCTTAACTGTTTGTCAGCGCAACAGCCGTGCTAGATTAAGCAGATTGCCTCCACCCGATGGCCTCCTTGAAGCTCTCGCATGCTCATTACAGTTCTGTTCTGTTCCCCGCGGGCTGGTGAAGTGTTGCAGAGACATGTCAGAAAGCATCAAGTGGCCACATCGATGCATTTGGAATGGTTGACTCGCAATTCGAGAACGTCTTCCTTTTCCGAGCAGGTTTCCATCGTAAGAAGTCGTCGTTGCACCTCCGGGTTATTTGAAGTTCAATTCGATGTCCTTGCACGGCAACTGCGAGGAAGGCTGCACAGCACTTCACAGGGCATCTGCGCTGCCAGGACTGTCAAGGTTTTTGCAAGGAGCATTCTTCAGAGGGCGTTTCTTCAATGTGCCTTGCACACTCCAGGACTGGTGAAAGTGCGGGGGGTTTTGTGCCTTGGCGATCACACAAGTCCGAAACCAGAGCAGACACCAGTCACTGACGAGCATGGAAGCTTGTGTTAATCCAGCCTTTCGTTCTGTTAGAGTCGGCTGGTCGATGTGCTGCTGGAACAAGATGCCAGTCCTTCAATCGACAGAGTGAGTGTTGAAGACATGCCATGTGTGTGTGTGTGTGTGTGTGTGTGTGTGAACCTCCCTAGTACATGGGAGCAGAGGGTCACTCCTACACTGCTTGCAATTTTGCTTTACAACTCAATCAGACATTTGACATTTAACGATTCAAATGTTGCAGGGGGCCAGCGCATGGTGTTGTGACGCTGGCCAACGAAGCTAGCAACACCATGGGAAGAGGTTTGGGACGCCAAACCTTGTACCTGCACAAAATTGAGCTGGGGCCCCTGTGCCAGCCCGATTAGAAGGCCCCTGTGCCAAGATTAGAGAGTTTTCAGTTGCCACTTTTGGCGGTTGATTCGACAACAAACAAGTTGTACGGTTGCCACAATCTGACAAGCTTTTGCAACATGAACAACATGCCTCTCTTTTTCCTCTTGCACTCGTACTCTTGGCCGAATCCATCAGTGTGATCAGCGTGGGTCTATGAGACTCCAGAGCAACGGCTTTCCGTCAAGGCGCCGTGGTGACCCTCCGGGGAGACCGGTGATGAACCGGGTGTTCAGCCTTCGTTCAGATCGTTCAGATTCTCCAGATGCTACTTTATCTCTCTCTCTCTGATGCTCGCATGTGAGTCTGACATGAGTGCAGTTGCAGTAACCGACGTCTAGTGCAGTAACCGGCCGCTAATGCACAGGTTCTCTCTATTCTGCCCCGGGGTTTTTTTTTTTTTTCACTTCTCTATTCCTCAGGGACTGCAAGGGCATGTGCATCTGTCATGAGTGCAGACGTGGTAAAGATGTCTACAGCAAGTGAAGCAGCGCTCTCTCCGGAGAGTACTCGGCCCTCCACCTTCCTTCTCTCCGTCTACGACCTCTCAAATCAGTCCAGCAGGGACAATCAGGACAGCCTGCACTTTGCTTGTGCAACTGTGTGTGTTTCACCCGCTTCGTTGCAGCTATGTGGCCGGAACATTTTGCCGCGCAGCCACCAGCAACACCATATGCACCAACAGCCCGACCGGTGCTTAATCAATTTCACCAGAACACCTGGGTACCGCAGTCTCAAAGCTACCCAGCAATGATGCCAACCGGCATTGCTGCCACTCAGCAGCCCACACTGCCAACACAACCCACTTCGATTCCTCTTGAGCAAACACACGGCTTCCCCATGATGCCGTGTGGACACACCGCTCCTATCCCACAGCATCCGACAATCTACGCACATCTCAGCACACCACAACCCCAGATGCCACAACAACCACCACCCCAGCAATTCATGTCACAACAACCCACACCGCTCATGAATCCTGCACTTGCGCCTACCCATCCAACAGCTTTTCCCATGAGCCTATCCGCTTCAACGCAGCATCAGGCCCCACCTACTACATTCAACTTTCCTTTTGCACCACCTGCCCCACAACCACAACTCGCACCCTGCAACCTCCCTCCCACACAGCCCATTCAACAATCCCACATACCGCCGCCAACAACAATTCAACAAGCTCCACAACCCCACCCCACCAGTGTTCCCACTGCCGATGCTGCATACACTGCCCCGCAGACACCGGCAATGACGCCCCAACAGCAACAACCAACAAACACAGCCAATACCCCTTCTGTCAACACAGTACCACCCGCACAACCACCACCACCCCCAGATACGGGATCGGCAGACACTGACCAGCTCGCAGCCCGTACTTCCCCCCATCATCCTCCGCTGCCACGCAGACGACGGCATTCACCCACACGCAGCAGGACTCGCACCGCGAGCACTAGACGCCGTCGACACACGCGCAGCCGAGCACGACCTGCAAGCAGCGGCAGACAGCACCGCCGACGCAGACACCATCGATCCCGCGACACTCGCAGAAGCCGTTCTCGCAGGGACACCAGGCGTGCTTCATCGACACCTCCTCGGACCTCGGTTGTGCTCCGCAGCTATTCTACAGTGCGTGATGATGATGCCAACAAGTGGCATTACAGAGCCACACAGCCACGTCAAAGGCCACCTACCCCACCCAAGGTCCCACAAAAAACATTGGCTTCGCAGGTTCAGCGCATCGCCCTCCGCATCAAGGGCAGCCAAGCCGCACAACAGCAGCCCCCAACAAGCCAGGGCACATCCTCGCGCCAACAGCTTCGGCACAATCCCCCCAGCTCTGTTCGGACACCTGCTCCGACTTACGATGCATCCACAACTGCTGCCCCATCGGGTCAGCCAACCCTCGAACAACTGGGCAAACAGAGCAGACCACCACAGATTGATGTGGCGCCTTTCTCTGAGCTTTATGATCATGAAAAGCCGACCCCCCACGCTGTCGACTTGGAGGAAGCGCACAAACTCGCCAAAACTTTGGGCGAGATAGCTGCTGACAGCGATTTCAGGCAGGAGACTTTAGCCGAATTCGCGCATGCCGTATTACAGTCGGGCACGCGCTCAGCGTGCAACGAATTGGGAGCAACGCTGACGCCAATATCGGACGGCGTGCATACTATGTTATTCATCCCGTGGGCTGGTGAGACTCGCAGAGCATTCGGCACTCGTGCCACTGACCCACCAGGGGAAACATACATCTACACCGCCGGACACGGCACGAGCATTGCAAGTGCCGCACGCATAATGCGTGAGGACTTGGTCCGCCCAAGTTCTATCAGCCATTGCTTCGACGACAAGTCCTATCCACCCATTCCCTCTTGCGTCATATACGGGAATGCAACCCCAGGAGATGTGTCGGAGAGCACGGTACATATAGTTACCGATCAATGTACGCGGCGGCCCAAGGGCCAACAGGGAGTGATCGTCATCGGGACAATACGGACTAAGTATCAGCATTACAAGATGACGTATCGGGACATGTACAGAGAAGCCTACATCGTGGGGCGAAAGGGTGTTGTACGGACCCCGGAGAAGTGGGGATTCCATTCCGGGCACTTCAGCATTGTTGGATTCGGCCTCATTCAGTGATGTTGATTTCTTCTTCTGTTTCTTCCTGCAACTCTTTAGTACTTTTCTTCCAGGCCTGAATCCCTGTACACATAGTCGTTTGCAATAAGGCATTTGCTCCGACCTCGCTTTTGAGCCAAAGAAGACTCGATGCAGCTGCATGCTGGATGCCTCGCACAAGTTGATGTTGACGCTCAACCCAACCAGGTTGATCATGCATGTTTCATGTGCAGCTTTTGCAGTCACAGGCAACTGTAGTGCCCCACTGTGCAACCATGTACAAGCCGACACAGCCTCAGTGGCATACAACAATGCCAACAGGCATCATCGGTACAGCAATCAGTACCGTGCAGAGACAAGCAACCTCGACCAGCAGTACCCCATTGCACCCGATCTCCCCACCACCAGGGATACACAATATCCCACCACACACCTCATCACCAATCCCGACTACTTGGGGTCCGGCTCACATCTCAAGCCACAACAACACGTTCCCACCTTTCCCTCCACCCCCTCCCCCACCCCAACAGTTTCCCGGACCAATTCCGCCCACCACACTACCAACCCCCACTCCTGCCACTCCCCAACACACATTTGTGAGTCCATCTCCGATGACGACTCGAAACCCCAGCTTTTCGTCACACACATTACCTCAAGCCACCGTCGCAACCCAACAACAGCAACACCCCAACCCCACGCCTGCAAATCCCCAGATACCAAACGACTTTGTTCAAACACCGGAGCATTGGGACAACAGGCAGCTTTTTGGCCTCAACCTCCCCAAACACATTCAATCTACACCACATTCAGTGCATAACCGCACAGCAGGCATGCCAATCGCAACAGCACCATTGGTCGCATTTTTGCGACACAATTGGTCTTCGTACTGGCTACGGTACGCTGCACATGGCTTCGACATTCATCTCACATGCAGCAAACACGTCAGCGAAGCCGTTTTCACCACTGAACTTATGGGTCAACTCCGAGCAAGGAGAATTGATCTGGACCAAGCGGCCACTGCATTCTGCTGGCAAGAAAAGCTCACACTTGCAAAACGACCAGCAATGTCACACCTTATTAAGGAATTGGTGTTGTACCTGCAGGAGCTGCAGGACCAATACAACGACGGCAACAAAAAGGACAAGCAAAACGCCAAAGCAGACACCGAAAACACACAATCGCAACCCACCGAATCTCCAACACCACCACAATCCAGCAAACCACAACCTCATCTCCCACTCCAACCTTCGCAGTCGACAGAGACTGA